GATGATCCTCTGTAGAGACATCACCCTGCTCTCACAGGTTTAGAAGCTGAGAGGAGACCTAGAACTCACCGTGCCTTGTACCTCCTGAGGGAATGTGGCCCAGAAGACACTGATTCCATGCTGCTGGACTTCAGAGCTGTGAACACAGATCTCTAAACCACCCAGTCTGCAGTGGTGAGTCAGAGCCACACTAGAGAAATAACACACAAGTGTTCCACTCTTTCCACACGCTCTCCAGACCACGGTGCCTCCCCCAAGTTCACCCAAAAAGCTTTATGGAAGGCAGGGCCCTTCACAGGACATAGCCATGGCCAGGTGGTCACTTGAGTCTGTCGGATCCCTGACCTCAGCTCTCCACCTCCTGGGACCAGTGGGGAAATTAGGACACGAAACAGAGGTATGATATTCTGAAGCTGGTGAGCCTCTACGCTGCTGATGCTGGATCGCAGGATCCCAGCACTTGGGTCACCTGTGCTTGGAACAGCCAAGACGTCCCTTGTGAACTCAGTGGGGAAAGTGACTCAGGAAGGTTCGTGAGGAGGCTGTTCCAGCTGGTCGTGGCGTTTCGCCCGTGTCCACTGAGCCCAGGCTGGCCTTTTACAGGGGAGAGGGTAGAACAGGCTGTGTATCCACACGCTGCTTCTCAGAGAGGCCTGGGGCAAACCCACAAGGGTGAAAAGAGAAGAAAGAGGCCGGGTGTCAGGATGCTAAGGTTAGAGACCCTCCCCACGGGGCTGAGGATTGACCAGGGGCCTCCTGAGCCATCAACATGAGGGCCTCTGACCAGTGTGGAGTGACCCTTCTCAGGAGGGTCTGGTCTGTGCCCAGCAACAGTCAGCAACAGGGGCTTTCATCCACCTTTCTCAATGTGGACATGCAGCAGTTGGCCAACTCAGCGTTCTAGAACTTTCAGGACAGCTTGCTGCTTGCCCAGAATGGGAGAGAGACAAATGCCCCGAAGTGCTCAGTCCTCTGACTGTGGCCAGCTTCCTCACAAGCAGCCCTCTGCAGGGTGTCTGGGCTCTGCTGGACACAGACCTGGAATGAGCTGGGGTTCTGCGTGTTTCTGGGGACAGAGGGGGACGGCACCCCACAGCTGCCTAAAGCACCACAGTCATTGCTGCCTCCCTCTGTCTCTGGAGGAGCAGCCTGGCGGGAGAAAGGGATCCAGCCCTCCTGGGGCAAGCAGACAGAGAAATGTCCACCCTGATGCCTGCCTCAACATGTCCTTGGCTCAGGAACCCCGGAAGCCAGGCCCAGTGCCAACCTCCTCATGCAGGCCTGAGAACTGTCGGGGTGCACTGACCACAGCTGAGCAGTGTGACGTCCTCCCAGGTTCCTGAGGACCGTCAGGTGCACTGACCACAGGTGAGCAGTGTGACGTCCTCCCAGGCCCCTGAGGACTGTCGGGTGCACTGACCACAGGTGAGCAGTGTGACGTCCTCCCAGGTTCCTGAGGACTGTCAGGTGCACTGACCACAGGTGAGCAGTGTGACGTCCCCGCCCCAGCCCCAGCCCCAGCCCCAGCCCTGCCCCAGCCGGTCCAGCCCCAGCCCCAGCCCCGCCCCAGCCCAGCCCAGCCCATCCAGCCCCAGCCCCAGCCCCAGCCCAGCCCCAGCCCCGCCCAGCCCCAGCCCCAGACCCAGACCCAGCCCCGCCCCAGCCCCAGCCCCAGCCCCAGCCCCAGCCCCGCCCCAGCCCCAGCCCCAGCCCGTCCAGCCCCAGCCCCAGCCCCAGCCCAGCCCCAGCCCAGCCCCAGCCCCAGCCCCAGCCCAGCCCCAGCCCCAGCCCAGCCCCAGCCCAGCCCCAGCCCCAGCCCCAGCCCCAGCCCAGCCCCAGCCCCAGCCCAGCCCCAGCCCAGCCCCAGCCCCAGCCCCAGCCCAGCCCCAGCCCAGCCCCAGCCCCAGCCCAGCCCCAGCCCAGCCCCAGCCCCAGCCCAGCCCCAGCCCAGCCCCAGCCCCAGCCCAGCCCCAGCCCAGCCCCAGCCCCAGCCCAGCCCCAGCCCAGCCCCAGCCCCAGCCCCAGCCCAGCCCCAGCCCCGCCCCAGCCCCAGCCCGAGCCCCAGCCCCAGCCCCAGCCCCAGCCCCGCCCCAGCCCCAGCCCGAGCCCGTCCAGCCCCAGCCCCAGCCCCAGCCCAGCCCCAGCCCGTCCAGCCCCAGCCCAGCCCCAGCCCCAGCCCTGCCCCAGCCCCAGCCCGAGCCCGTCCAGCCCCAGCCCGAGCCCGTCCAGCCCCAGCCCCAGCCCCAGCCCAGCCCCAGCCCGTCCAGCCCCAGCCCAGCCCCAGCCCAGCCCCAGCCCCAGCCCCAGCCCCAGCCCCAGCCCAGCCCCAGCCCAGCCCCAGCCCCAGCCCCAGCCCCAGCCCCGCCCCGCCCCAGCCCAGCCCCAGCCCCAGCCCCAGCCCCAGCCCCAGCCCCGCCCCAGCCCAGCCCCAGCCCCAGCCCCAGCCCCAGCCCCAGCCCAGCCGGTCCAGCCCCAGCCCCAGCCCCGCCCCAGCCCCAGCCCCGCCCCAGCCCCAGCCCCGCCCCAGCCCCAGTCCCAGCCCCGCCCCAGCCCCAGCCCCAGCCCCAGCCCCAGCCCCAGCCCCAGCCCCGCCCCAGCCCCAGCCCCAGCCCAGCCCCAGCCCCAGCCCCAGCCCCAGCCCCAACCCAGCCCCAGCCCCAGCCCCAGCCCCAGCCCCGCCCCAGCCCCAGCCCCAGCCCAGCCCGTCCAGCCCCAGCCCCAGCCCCAGCCCAGCCCCAGCCCCAGCCCCAGCCCAGCCCGTCCAGCCCCAGCCCCAGCCCCAGCCCAGCCCCAGCCCAGCCCGTCCAGCCCCAGCCCCGCCCCAGCCCCAGCCCCAGCCCAGCCCGTCCAGCCCCAGCCCCAGGCCCAGCCCCGCCCCAGCCCCAGCCCGTCCAGCCCCAGCCCCAGCCCCAGCCCAGCCCCAGCCCCAGCCCCAGCCCCAGCCCCGCCCCAGCCCGTCCAGCCCCAGCCCCAGCCCCAGCCCCAGCCTCGCCCCGCCCCGCCCCAGGCCCCAGCCCCGCCCCGCCCCGCCCCACCCCGGCCCCGGACGGCAGCCCCGCTTCCTGCCGGAGGGTGGCCGGGGACTGGGCCTCGTGGTCACAGGCACGCGGTGGATGGAGAGTATGGGGCGCAGCCTGGGACTGCAGGGGCTGCTCTGTCTCCGCCCCCAGCTCTGTCTCCGCCCCCCAGCTCTGTCTCCGCCCCCAGCTCTGTCTCCGCCCCCAAGCTCTGTCTCCGCCTCCCAGCTCTGTCTCCGCCCCCAGCTCTGTCTCCGCCCCCCAGCTCTGTCTCCGCCCCCAAGCTCTGTCTCCGCCTCCCAGCTCTGTCTCCGCCCCCAACTCTGTCTCCGACCCCCCAGCTCTGTCTCCGCCCCCCAGCTCTGTCTCTGCCCCCCCAGCTCTGTCTCTGCACCCCAGCTCTGTCTCCGCCCCCAGCTCTGTCTCCGCCCCCCCAGCTCTGTCTCCGCCCCCAGCTCTGTCTCCGCCCCCCAGCTCTATCTCCGCCCCCAGCTCTGTCTCCGCCCCCCAGCTCTATCTCCGCCCCCCAGCTCTGTCTCCGCCCCCCCAGCTCTGTCTCCGCCCCCAGCTCTGTCTCCGCCCCCCAGCTCTGTCTCCGCCCCCCAGCTCTGTCTCCGCCCCCCAGCTCTGTCTCCGCCCCCAGCTCTGTCTCTGACCCCCCAGCTCTGTCTCCGCCCCCCAGCTCTGTCTCCGCCCCCAGCTCTGTCTCCGCCCCCCCAGCTCTGTCTCCGCCCCCAGCTCTGTCTCCGCCTCCAGCTCTGTCTCCGCCCCCAGCTCTGTCTCCGCCCCCAGCTCTGTCTCCGCCCCCCAGCTCTGTCTCCGCCCCCAGCTCTGTCTCCGCCCCCAACTCTGTCTCCGCCCCCCAGCTCTGTCTCCGCCCCCAGCTCTGTCTCCGCCCCCCCAGCTCTGTCTCCGCCCCCAGCTCTGTCTCCGCCCCCCAGCTCTGTCTCTGCCCCCCCAGCTCTGTCTCCGCCCCCCAGCTCTGTCTCTGCCCCCCCAGCTCTGTCTCTGCACCCCAGCTCTGTCTCCGCCCCCAGCTCTGTCTCCGCCCCCCCAGCTCTGTCTCCGCCCCCAGCTCTGTCTCTGCCCCCAACTCTGTCTCCGCCCCCCCAGCTCTGTCTCCGCCCCCAGCTCTGTCTCCGCCTCCAGCTCTGTCTCCGCCCCCCAGCTCTGTCTCCGCCCCCAGCTCTGTCTCCGCCCCCCCAGCTCTGTCTCCGCCCCCAGCTCTGTCTCCGCCCCCCAGCTCTATCTCCGCCCCCAGCTCTGTCTCTGCCCCCAACTCTGTCTCCGACCCCCCAGCTCTGTCTCCGCCCCCAGCTCTGTCTCCGCCCCCCAGCTCTGTCTCTGCACCCCAGCTCTGTCTCCGCCCCCAGCTCTGTCTCCGCCCCCCCAGCTCTGTCTCCGCCCCCAGCTCTGTCTCTGCCCCCCCAGCTCTGTCTCCGCCCCCCAGCTCTGTCTCCGCCCCCAGCTCTGTCTCCGCCCCCAGCTCTGTCTCCGCCCCCCAGCTCTGTCTCCGCCCCCAGCTCTGTCTCTGCCCCCCCAGCTCTGTCTCCGCCCCCCAACTCTGTCTCCGCCCCCCAGCTCTGTCTCCGCCCCCCAGCTCTGTCTCCGCCCCCCAGCTCTGTCTCCGCCCCCAGCTCTGTCTCCGCCCCCAGCTCTGTCTCTGCCCCCCAAGCTCTGTCTCCGCCCCCAGCTCTGTCTCCGCCCCCAGCTCTGTCTCTGCCCCCCCAGCTCTGTCTCTGCCCCCCCAGCTCTGTCTCCGCCCCCAGCTCTGTCTCCGCCCCCCAGCTCTGTCTCCGCCCCCCAGCTCCGTCTCTGCCCCCAGCTCTGTCTCCGCCCCCCAGCTCTGTCTCTGCCCCCAGGTCCGTCTTCAACTCCAAGCCGGGTGCCCGCCCCCCGGGCCGGGTCTGCACTGCCAGCTCCGCATCCTGGCAGGCATGTCTCGCGTGCAGGGTCGGCATCCCCGCGCCCACGCCCCGCAGGTCAGTGCGCGCCGGTCCGGGAGGCCGGGGGGTTGGAGCGAGGCGCGGGGGACCGGACCTGGCCCAGGTGCAGCCGAGCGCGGTTGCTCGCAGGAGGAGGAGCGGCTCGGCTCTTCCAGACCCGGTCGCCCCGCCCCGGACACCGGCTCCAGAAGCGGCCGACCGGCTCCGGGGGAGGCTCGGGCCACGGCGGGAAGTGAACCCGAGTGGGGCGGTGGCTCGGGAGAGCGGAGCCACCGCGGGGCCGGGGCGGGTCCCGGGGTAAGCGGTCCCGGGGTGGGGGGTCCCGGGGTGAGCGGTCCCGGAGTGAGGGGTCCCGGGGTGAGGGGTCCCGGGGTGGAGGGGTCCCGGGGTGAGGGGTGAGGGGTCCCGGGGTGAGGGGTCCCGGGGTGGAGAGGTCCTGGGATGAGGGGTCCCGGGGTGAGGGGTCCCGGGGTGGGGGGGTGAGGGGTCCCGGGGTGAGGGGGTGAGGGGTCCCAGAGTGAGGGGTCCCGGGGAGAGGAGGTGAGGGGTCCCGGGGTGAGGGGGTGAGGGGTCCCGGGTGGAGGGGTCCCGGGGAGAGGGGGTGAGGGGTCCCGGGGAGAGGGGGGTGAGGGGTCCCGGAGTGAGGGGTCCCGGGGTGAGGGGTCCCGGGGTGTTGGGGTCCCGGGGTGAGGGGTCCCGGGGTGGAGAGGTCCTGAGGAGAGGGGGTGAGGGGTCCCAGGGTGAGGGGTCCCGGGGTGAGGGGTCCCGGAGTGAGGGGTCCCGGGGAGAGGGGGTGAGGGGTCCCGGAGTGAGGGGTCCCGGGGTGAGGGGTCCCGGGGTGTTGGGGTCCCGGGGTGAGGGGTCCCGGGGTGGAGAGGTCCTGAGGAGAGGGGGTGAGGGGTCCCAGGGTGAGGGGTCCCGGAGTGAGGGGTCTCGGGGTGAGGGGGTGAGGGGTCCCGGGGTGGAGAGGTCCTGAGGAGAGGGGGTGAGGGGTCCCGTGGTGAGGGGTCCCGGGGTGAGGGGTCCCGGGGTGAGGGGGTGAGGGGTCCCCGGGTGGGGGGGGGGGTCCCGTTGTGAGGGGTCCCGGAGTGAGGGGTCCCGGGGTGAGGGGGTGAGGGGTCCCGGGGTGAGGGTCCCGGGGTGAGGGATCCCCGGGTGGGGGGGGGGGTCCCGGGATGGAGGGGTCCCGGGGTGAGGGGTCTCGAGGTGGGGGTCCCGGGGTGAGGGGTCCCGGGGTGAGGGGGTGAGGGGTCCCGGGGTGGAGAGGTCCTGAGGAGAGGGGGTGAGGGGTCCCGGGGTGAGGGGTCCCGTGGTGAGGGGTCCCGGGGTGAGGGGTCCCGGGGTGTGGGTGAGGGGTCCCCGGGTGGGGGGGGGGTCCCGGGGTGAGGGGTCCCGGGGTGGAGAGGTCCTGAGGAGAGGGGGTGAGGGGTCCCGGGGTGAGGGGTCCCGTGGTGAGGGGTCCCGGGGTGAGGGGTCCCGGGGTGTGGGTGAGGGGTCCCCGGGTGGGGGGGGGGTCCCGGGGTGAGGGGTCCCGGGGTGGAGAGGTCCTGAGGAGAGGGGGTGAGGGGTCCCGGGGTGAGGGGTCCCGGAGTGAGGGGTCCCGGGGTGAGGGTCCCGGGGTGAGGGGGTGAGGGGTCCCCGGGTGGGGGGGGGGTCCCGGGATGGAGGGGTCCCGGGGTGAGGGGTCTCGAGGTGGGGGTCCCGGGGTGAGGGGTCCCGGGGTGGAGGGGTCCCGGGCCCGGGGGTCCCGGGTGGCGGGTCCCGGCCGCGTCCCCGCGCAGCGCTTGGTGACGGGCAGGTCTTGGCGCAGAGCCCGGAGCTGCTGCTCGCCCCGGCGGGCGGGCCCGGCTGGCCTCACCGGTCCGAAGCCCGTTCGCAGTCGTTGGCACCACCGGGGGACGCACCCGCACCCGAGGACCCTTGCTCCGTAGAAAAGTCCACGAAGCCTTCCAGAAGCCCACTCGCAGCCCAAGCTCGGCGCCTGCATTTGTCAGGTTTTAAACGGTAAACGTCCCAGCTTGGTGAGCAGCAGTTGCAGCGCCAAAGCACCACCGGGTCTGCAGGCGCAGAGGCGCGGGGCGGCTGGAGAAGGGGTCGCTTCCTCCGCCAGGAGCCCATGGAAGCGGGGACGCGGAAACGGTAGGTGCCTCCTCTGCTCCCCTTTGCATTGCCATCACCAGGGGGTGCAGGGGGCCGGGGAAAGAGTGCATTTCTTTCTCACAGTAGGTAACAATCTTTGTGTTTTGGCACTGCGTTGTTTTGTGTTACAGACTTTATTGTTCAGTATTTTCATAAACGCTTGTTTAAAACTTAGGACATCCATGGAAGTTTCTTGCATTTGATGAAGTTGTATTCACACACATTCGTATTTAATAAAATGTACTCTGCCTGCATACAATATTTTAAATATAATTTAACAGAAATTTGAGAACTTAACCTTAAAATCATACTCATCTATCTATCAGTTCTCACAAACAATATCAGTTCCTGGCATATTTTTAAAATTTCATCATTAAGTAGCTGTACAAAGAGGTTACAATTCCATAAGTCAGGTTTTGAGTAAACTGCATATTGACAGATATCAACCCTTCCATCGTTCTCCCCCACTCTATACCTTCAAGTTGCATAGTTCAGTTTTTACATAGCATTCATTAAATACGACTGTATTCGGTCACCCTTCCTTCCTCCATTTGTCCCTCCTTTTCCACCCTACTCCAACATGTTTCTACTTCCCCTGATGTTCTTCTGATAAACAGTTCATTAGTTAGTTGCTCAGGGGCATTGTGTTTGGACTCCTCCACTTAGACATGCCATCTTATAGTCAGTTTGTGTGTATATGCATAAAACTACATACATTATATATGTTTGCATTTTAGACCTACCTTCTACATGTGAGCAAAAACATGTGATGTACCAAGTGCCAGTGGTTCATGCCTGTAATTCTAGCTACTCAAGAGGATGATATCTGATGATCACAGTTCAAAGCCAACCAGGCAGGAAAGTGCATTGGACTCTTATCGGCAATTAACCACCAGAAAACCAGAACTGGTGCTGTGGTGCAAGTAGTAGAACACTAGCCTTGAGTGAAAAAGCTCAGGGACAGCACCCAGGCCCTGAGTTCAAGACCAATATCCAACAACAAAAAGTGAAGTTTGTCTCTGAGCCTGACTTACTTCATTTAACATAATTTTTTTAGGTCTAATTCCCTGCAAATGATATATCATTGTTCTTTCTAATAGATGAATAGAACTCTTATCTAACTCTCTATCTCTCTATTTCTATCTATATATCTTATTTTCTTGACCCATTCATCTGTTGTAGGGCATCTGGGCTAGTTCTATACCTTGGTTATGTCATGAATATTGCCATAATGAACATGGATGTATAGGTGTCTTTACCATATCCTGACTTGTAACATTCTAGGTAGATGCCCAAAAGTGGTTTCTATATTTCAGGAATCTTCACACTGCCTTCCAGAGTGGTTGCACTAGTTTACATTCCCTCCAACAGTGCCACAGGGTTCCTTTTCCCCCAGAATCCCCACCAAGATTTGTTTGTGTTTGTTTTCTAGATGCTGCCAATCTAACTGGGGTAAGATGAAATCTAAATAGTTATTTTTAAATTTAATTTACTTTTGTCGTAAAGGTGACCTATAGAGGGGTTACAGTTACACAAGTACATTTCTTATCAATGAATACATTTCTTATCAAACAGTACAACTCTCTCCCTCATTTTCTCCCATATAGTTTTGATTTGCATTTTCTTTATGGCTAGGGATGTTGAGCATTTCCTCTATTTAGCGGCCATTTTTCTTCTGAAAAGTCTCTGGCTCCTTTTTTCCATTTATTTTTGGGTTATTAATGGGGGGTGGGCAGTTTCTTTAGCTCCTTGTGTATTTTGGATATTAGGCCCTTGTCTCCTTGTGTATTTTGGATATTAGGCCCTTGTCTCCTTGTGTATTTTGGATATTAGGCCCTTGTCTCCTTGTGTATTTTGGATATTAGGCCCTTGTCTCCTTGTGTATTTTGGATATTAGGCACTTGTCAAAGGGCAAAGATCTCCCACATTGTAGGCTGTATTTTTAGCTTAATAACTATGTCTTTTGCTGTACAGAAACTTTCCAGTTTGATGCAATCCCATTTTTACATTTCATTGTCAGTTTGTTGAGCCCCCGGAACTCTGCTCAGAAAGTTCTTATCATGGCCTGTGCATTGTGTTCATTGTGTGCCAGTCCTGGGGCTTAAACTCAGATCCTAGGCAGTTTCTGAGCTGTTCTGCTTAAGGCTATCACTCTACCACTTGAGCCACAGCTCCCCCTCCACCTTTTGGGTGATTAACTGGACATAAGAGTCTCATGGACTTTCCTTCTAGGGCTGGCTTTGAACTGCAGTCCTCAGATCTCAGCCTCCTGAGTAGCTAGGATTAAAGGTGAGGGCCATCAGCACCTGGCTAAAATTCTAGTTTTAAAATAGTTTGCTGCTTTACAAAGTCATTTATTCACAATTTTTTTTTAAAAAAAAAGTTGTGGCTTTGGGCTGGGAAGGTGGCTCAGTGGTAGAGTGCTTGCCTTGTATTCATGAAGCCCTGGGTTCGATTCCTCAGCACCACATAAGCAGAAAAGGCCAGAAGAGGCACTGTGGCTAAAGTGGTACAGCACTTGCCTTGAGCTGAAGAGCTCAGGGACAGTGGCTTTCATTATACTACATAATTCATAAAGTACTAGTTCTTTGTTCACAGTTAAAGCACTATTAACTGGAATCTAATGAAACTACATTTTATGGAGTGTTTGCCTTGTGATTTATAGCTTTAAATGAATGCAACCTCCTGTGGTCCAGTTTTCATTTATTGCCCATCCCTGGCTCCTGTTGCTACCAGGGGAAAGAGCTCTTGCACCTGCTACAGATGGTAAATATTTAATTATGTCTTATCTCTAGTATATTTTATTTCATTCTATTGTTTCCCTGATTATAATCTATGGAAATAAGGACCTCATGTCTCTTCTGAGCTAAACGAAACATACAGGCTTCAGAAGATGGTGGGTCTTTAGAAAATAAGAATATATCCCAGTCTAAAACTTTTAAGTCTTGTAATTACCAGTTCTGGAATGGAGTATTATATAAAGACTCTAAATGAAATCACAAACTTTTCTTCATTCTCTCCAATAGATCAAAGAGTGTTAAAACTTTGTAGAAGATACAAGTTTGATTAATTTTTATTATCTGTAAGAAGTTGAGCAAAGGAATTACCGTTTAACCAGGGGTTTTTTTGCCTTTTTTTTTTTTTTTTGCTTCAGTTCAATCTTACAAAAGGTTAAAGACCTTTATTAGAAAAGGAGAATATTTTGCCATCTAGTTGTCATTTAGCGGGGAATACAGATATATTATTTCTAAACAATTTATAAACAAGACAGTCTGATATTACTTAGCCCTTTATGAGCTATGTATGAGAACAGACTGGTTAGGGGGGCCGGGAAGGGGTAGCGCGCTTGCCGAGCCTGCGCGAAGCCTTGGGTTCGATTCCTCAGAGCCGCACGCAGGGAAAAGGCCGGAGGCGGCCCTGAGTTCAAGCCCAGGACTGGCAAAAAAGCAGAGGAAAAGGGGGGAAAGAGGATGCCTAGTGGCAGGAGGCAGCACCCGGAGGTCGTCGGGCGGGTGGGGCGGGACCGGGAGGCCGGGCAGGCGGGAGCGAGGCGCCCGGGGACGCCGCCGGGGACGCCTGCGAGGGCGGCGGGCACTCAGCCGCAGGCCCCGTCGCGCCACGCTTCCGGGAGCGGCCTCGACGCCGCGGCGGCTCACGTGTCAAGGAGGCGCCGGGAACGCGCGCCGCCGTCGGGGCGTTGACGCCCGTGGGCCGGGTCGCGGGGCGATGACGCCGAGGGACGGGACGCGGGGCGATGACAACATTGGACAGGTCAGGACGTGGGGCGATGACATCATTGGACAGGTCAGGACGTGGGGCGATGACATTATTGGACAGGACAGGACGTGGGGCGATGACGCCATTGGACAGATCGGGACGTGGGGCGATGACGCCATTGGACAGGACGCGGGGCGATGACGCCATTTGACAGATCGGGACGCGGGGCGATGACGCCATTGGACAGGACAGGACGCGGGACGATGACGCCATTGGACAGGACAGGACGCGGGACGATGACGCCATTGGACAGGTCAGGACGTGGGGCGATGACATCATTGGACAGGACAGGACGCGGGGCTGCGGTGGCGGCCCGCACTCGGCTCACCCCATTTCCGACGCCCCTTGGCGAGCGCAGCAGCCGGCGGCCCGTGGCGGCGCGGCCTGGGGGCTTCCCGGTGCGGCAGGCGGCGGGGGTGGCGGCCTCCTCCGGGCGCGGCCGGACCGCCACGTGGCCAAGGGCGACAAGGCCGGCCTGGGCGCGTGGGCGCTCCGTGGCTGGGGCCTCGGTTTCCCCGCCGTGGGCGCGTGGGCGCTCCGTGGCTGGGGCCTCGGTTTCCCCGCCGTGGGCGCTCCGTGGCTGGGGCCTCGGTTTCCCCGCCGTGGACGCCGTGGGGCGCTCCCGTGGCGGGTCTCTAGCGAGGTCGGTGGCTCCGGGCTCCGTCCCCTCGTCCTTACCGGAGCACCGGCGTCCGCGCCCCACTCCCAAGGGAAAACGCAGCTGCCCACCGCCCTCCAGCGGATGTTTCCTAGTCAAGAAGCGCCCAGTCCGCAGCGGGGAGGGGAGGGAGAGGGGAGGGGAGGGCGTAGGAGGAGGAGGAGGGAGAGGGGAGGAGGAGAGGGCGGGGGAGAGGAGGGGGAGGGCGTGGGAGGAGGAGGGAGAGGGGAGGGGAGGGCGTGGGAGGAGGAGGAGGGAGAGGGAGGAGGAGAGGGCGGGGGAGGGGGCGGGGAGGAGGAGGAGAGGGAGGAGAGGGGGAGGGGCGGGCGCGAGGAGGCGGGGAGGGGAGGGGAGGGGATGAATGGGGAGGAGGAAGGGGAGGAGGAGAGGGAGGGGAGGAGGGGAGGGGGAGGGGAGGAGGGAGACGGGATGAATGGGGAGGAGGAGGGGGGGGCGGGGAGGAGGAGGGGGGGCGGGGAGGTCGCCGCGTCTCCGTTCCCCGGCAACCGGGCAGCCGCCAATAGCAGCGCGGCGCCTGAGTCACGTGGCCGTTGGCGGCCGGGGACGAGCCCGGCGCGGACCCTCAGGGCCTGCGTCCCGAGCATGGCGTCCGCGGCGGCGGCTTGCACGCATCGGAGCCCGGACGCGCGGGACGAGGACGAGAACCGTGACTCGGAGGACGCGGACAGCGTCTGGGGCTCGGACACCTCCGCGGGCAGCGGCTCCACGTAAGGGTCTGCGGCCGGGCCGGGCCGGGCGGGGCGGGCTCGCTGGCCGGAGGTGGGGCCGGGGCTGTGGGGCCGGGCGTGGCGGGGGGGGGGGGGGCCGGGCGGGGCAGTGGGGCCGGGGCGGGCGGGGCGGGCTCTGGCCGGGGCGGTGGGGCCGGGCGGGCTCTGGCCGGGGCGGTGGGGCCGGGCGGGCTCGCTGGCCGGGGCGGTGGGGCCGGGCGGGCTCTGGCCGGGGCGGTGGGGCCGGGCGGGCTCGCTGGCCGGGGCGGGCGGGGCGGGCTCGCTGGCCGGAGGTGGGGCCGGGGCGGTGGGGCCGGGCGGGCTCGCTGGCCGGGGCGGGCGGGGCGGGCTCGCTGGCCGGAGGTGGGGCCGGGGCGGTGGGGCCGGGCGGGCTCGCTGGCCGGGGCGGGCGGGGCGGGCTCGCTGGCCGGAGGTGGGGCCGGGGCGGTGGGGCCGGGCGGGCTCTGGCCGGGGCGGTGGGGCCGGGCGGGCTCTGGCCGGGGCGGTGGGGCCGGGCGGGCTCTGGCCGGGGCGGTGGGGCCGGGCGGGCTCGCTGGCCGGGGCGGTGGGGCCGGGCCGAGCGGGCTCGCTGGCCGGAGGTGGGGCCGGGCGGGCTCGCTGGCCGGAGGTGGGGCCGGGCGGGCTCGCTGGCCGGAGGTGGGGCCGGGCGGGCTCGCTGGCCGGAGGTGGGGCCGGGGCGGTGGGGCCGGGCCGGGCGGGCTCTGGCCCGGGCGGTGGGGCCGGGCCGGGCGGGCTCGCTGGCCGGAGGTGGGGCCGGGCGGGCTCGCTGGCCGGAGGTGGGGCCGAGCCGGGCCGGCGGAGTCCCGTTCTGCAGTGAGGCCTTGTTGTAAGGTGATTTCCGTTTTCCGCCCGCCCCGGGCGCGGACCGGGCCTTCTTGGTCTCGGCGGGCGCTGTGACGGGCGTCCGGAGCGTGCCTGCCCGGGCTGGCTTCGAACCGCGGCCTGAGCAGCTGGGATGGCGGGCGTGCGCCCGCGCCGGGCCGCTCTGTGCGGAGAGCACGCAGGGCTGGTAGCTGGGTCTCGCCGTGGCTCCAGCTGTAGCTTCGCACCCTCTTCTAGCCCGGCCTTGCGTGGCGTGCGCGTGCCCGGCGCTCCCCTTGTTTCCCCCGTGTGCGCGCGCGCATGCGTGCAAAGCCCCGGGGCTGGACGGGGCCTGGGTGCAGTCCAGAGGAGTTTTCTGCTCCCTCTGCACCGTAGGCTTTTGGAGGTTAACTGGAGATGAGCGCGTCGTGGGCATTCCCGCCAGGGTTGGCCTCGGCCCATGGTCCTCAGATAGCAGCCTCTAGAGCACCTAGGGTTAGAGGCGTGAGCCTCGGGATCCTGGCGTTACTCTGCATCTTCAAAGCAACTTGTGTTTCGGACACACGAAATGTGCACTTCTTCTTTTTATTTTTGTTTTTTGTGGGTCGTGGGGCCTGAACTCGGGCCTGGGCGCTGTCAGCTCCTCAGCCCGAGGCCAGCGCGCTCCCGCGGAGCCACCTTCCCAGCGCCTGCACTTCGTTTTACACTAGCCATGTTCTTTCACACCTACAGATTCGTGTACTTGGCTCCTCTGTTTGAGCCTTCTTTCTTCCTGTTTTCACTTGTTAAAATCCTGAGGTCCAACTAAGTGCTTCTTCTAGATCCTTCCCTCATCTCTCTCAGACTTACTTTAGCATCTGTCCTTCTATAGCAGTCTTAATTTCTGCTTCAGAACTTGAATTTTGGCTACTTGATCATGTCTTTTTCTGGGTTTTATTTTTTAGGCGATCGATGGGTGGGTGGCACTGGGGCTACTTGCGTTTGGAGTTCTCTCTTACTCTCTCCAACTCACTCCTTCACCACTTGTGTTTACCACTGTTACTATTATTTGCTACAGCTGAGTGCCATCCTCCAATATCCATCCCATCAGCTCCATGGATCTTTGAATTATATCCAAAAGGTTGTCTTCTATTCAAATTTCAGGATTTAAGTGAGCTATTTATTTACTTATTTAGTCGGTCATGGAGCTTGAACTCTGAGCCTGGGCACTGTCCCTGAGCTCTTCAGCTCAAGGCTAGCGCTCTACCACTTGAGCCACAGCGCCATTTCCGGTTTTCTGAGTGGTTTATTGGACATAAGAGTCTCATGGATTTTCCTGCCCGGGCTGGCTTTGAACCACCATCCTCAGATCTCAGCCTTCCTAGTAGCTAGGATTATAGGCCTGAGCCATCGGCTCCCAGCAAGTCAAGTATTTATGTTGAGTAAGTGGAAAAATATTTCTTGGATTGCTTACTGCTAATACAAACAGCATACCAAACTAGAAGGGTAAAATTATAAAGCAGATAACTATAATCTATTATTTAAATTTGTATGTACCTGTTTTTGTTTTTTGGCTGGTCCTGGGCCTTGAACTCTTAACCTGGGCACTGTCCCTAAGCTCCTTTTGCTCGAGGCTCAAACTGTATCACTTGAGCTACAGGTAAGCATCTCATGGACTTTCCTTCCTGGGATGGTTTCAAACCATGATCCTTACCTCTCAGCCCCCTGAGTAGCTAGGATTACAGATGTGAGCCACTGGCACCTGGCTGTATGTCTCTTGATCCATATAAATTTCTACTTTCAGTCAGCTTTTGATCTTTGTGTAGAAATACCCAGGATAAACAGTGGGAGAGAGGAAGGCTTTATTTCTGCTCTTTCCCTCCCCAAATAGTGTCTGTATTGCACTCATGTCGCTTATTTTTCACATATGAAAACAAAGAATATTTGTCTTTCTCAGTCTGTCTTATTTTGCTTAACGTGACAATGTCTAGTTTGATTTTTAGCTTGAAGAGTCTTCATACTAATTTCCACAGTGGTTGCACTAACTTGTATTTCTACTATCAGTGTATAAGTATTTCCCCTCCCAGTATTTGATGTTTTTTTCTCCATGATTGACATTCTTTCAGGTGTTTTAGTTACATTTCCTTCAAGGATGTTGACTTTTTAAATGTGTTTATTGGCCATTTGTACTTCTTGGAGAAGTATCTGTTCCAGTCATTTGTCCACTTGCTGGGTTGTTTGTTTCTTTGATGTTACTTTTTTTTTTAGCTCTTTATATATTCTGTATACTCAGTAATAGAGTGTTTCCCTGAGCACAGACACTGAATCATGTGATTCCATAACCTTCTCCCCTACACAGGGAGTGAACTGTTCAGCAGGGAAAATGCTTAAGAGAACTAGGAAGTTCTCTGCCTACCCAGGTAGGACTCAAGCCTCTGTGTGCTCTATTGTCTCGTACATTAATAGGTCATGCCTAGACTTGGAGGCTTGATGTCCTCAGATACACAAACTGCAGGGCTCAGCCTGTGAAGTGCCCTGTAGCCAGCATTGGTTCCCAGTACACAAAGAAGGGAAGCTTCTATAGTGAAAGTAGCTCAGAAATGCACAATCAGCCCTTCTATTAGCAATTGATTCTATTAGTGGCTGATCAGGCCCAGTGCTCAGAACAAGAAGGCATAAATACTTGGCAACTGAGCCTAACCCACCCACAGTTGTACAGTTCTTGGAGGTTATATGAGGGAGGGATCTGTAGAATCCAAATGATTGGGAGGATCTGGGCTTGGGGTCCCATGCCTGCCTGCCGCAAACTTACGCAGTTCCCAACATTGTGTCTCCATTCTTCAGGAGTCTACAAAATGCATTTTAAGGAAATGAATTAGAAGCGAAAAGAATTTTAAAAAATCAGATAACTTCCACCCCTTCTGCCTCCTTATCTGTAAAGCTGATCATAACTCCCTAATAAGAGAATAGAACTGTCTTTCTTACATTGGATTGATATTATGGTTATCATTTTTAAATTTTGCATAGTGATTTTGAACCTGAGTGGCTGGACAGTGTGCAAAAAAGTGGTGAGCTGTTTTATTTGGAATTGAGTGAAGATGAAGAAGAAAGCATTTTTCCTGAGACATCGACTGTGAACCATGTCAGATTCAGTGAAAATGAGATTATCATTGAGGAAGATAATTACAAGGAAAGAAAAAAGTATCAACCCAAACTCAAACAGTTTACTAAAATTTTAAAAGGTAAAAGACTTTTACCCAAGTGCTACAATAAAAAAAATAGCAATGATAATGGGCCGATATCCATTCTAAAGCATCAGTCCCATCAGAAGGCAGGTATCATTGTCCAACAGATGCATAAAGATGTGAATATTTATGTAAATCCCAAAAAATTAACTGTCAGCAAAGCCAAAGAGCAGCTTAAACTTCTGGAAGTACTGTTTGGAATTATCCATCAGAACAAGTGGAGTTGGAGAAGAATTGGAAAACAGGGCAGTGGAGAGAGGCTTGTGGTCCACGGCCTGCTGCCTGGAGGGTCTGCTATGAAGAGTGGCCAGGTGTTAATTGGTAAGTGTGCCTCATGAACATCAGTCCTTGTCTGCAGAGACACATGGTTAATGAGTCCATGTGAAGGACATGATACAAACCAGAATTTATGTATTCTTAACATATTAAGGACTGATAAATATCTGGTATAGTAGTGAAATGGTTACAGATAGTAAACCACAAAGCACAGTGTTCTTAAGATAGCACTTTAGATGGTTGGATACATATGTGAGTTGTCAGGGAACAGCTTAACTAATTTTGATTTGTACAGTTTTGTTACATCTTGGTTATATATTCTGAGAGAGAGAGAGAAAGAAGTTGATTACATAGTGGTAATAATTTGGACTTCAATGATTGTATCAAAAAATAACACAAAATATATAATATATGAATAAGTATACTTTTAAAGTGTATGTACTTGAGTCCAATAATTTCACAGAGTGGTTTGGCATACTTAGCAATAGTGATCATATACATACACTTCCTTTTAAAGGTACATGTCATGAAATATACTACCAATTTTGTGAAAAAAACCCATGAGTTATTTTGATTATATTGATACACTTTGAGCTATTATATATCATGTTTAAGTTAGTAGCATGTGCTTACTTGAAGATAAGCTGATCAAATCTGAGAATACATTTATTAGTGAAACATAAAAGTCAAGCCAGGCTCTGGTGGCTCATGCTTGTAATCCTAGCTTGTAATCCTAGGCTGAGATCTGAGGATCACGGTTCAAAGCTAGCTCAGGTAGGAAAGTCCGTGAGATTCCCATCTCCAATAAACCACCCGAAAACCGGAAGTGGCTCTGTGGCTCAAGTGGTAGAACGCTAGTCTTGAGCTGAAGAGCTAAGGGACAGCACCTAGACCCAGGGTTCAAGCCTCACAACTGACAAAAAAAAAAAAAAAAAAGCCACAGTTCTAAAAGCTAATAGTCTTGAGTTAACCCATCTTAGTGGCTTTAGTAGATAGCACTCTTTGTTTGCCTTACTGTAAGTGTAACCCCTCTCTGAATCACCTTTATAATAACAATAAAAATTTTAAAAATATGAGAAAGTAGAGATACGGCTCACTTGGTGTTAGCCTTGAGCAGAATGCCAAGGGAGAGTGCCCTGAGTTTGAGCCCCAGTACTGGCAAGATACTCACACCAAAATATAAGCTCTTCTCTAAGAGAAACGTTTTATCTTTGCCCTTTCCTTCATGAATTTAATACTTACTTTCCATATTTTTTGTCCATATGTGTGTGTGTATAGAAACATTCTTAAAATAATATCTGACCTAAAGTCTCATTTCAATTCTTCATTGACTCAACAAGTGAAAACAATTTATATGTCTCCTAAATTCCAGAACTGCTTAAAATTATCTAAATTATGTAAAGTAGGTCATAGAATAATGGAAGAACTAGACCATAACTAGGTAGAGAGCCTTACAGAGTAGCATAAGTACCATGTTAGGACTTTACAGAGTCCTCAGAAACACGTAGGAAGTATGTCTATGAAAATTGGGTGTTCCAAAATGGTTGCAACAAGATTTTCTTGTCTCCAGACGTGGAGAGGCCAAGAGTACACACAGGACTGATAGCCTAGCTGAGGTCCCACCTACCAGACATGAATGAAGAAGTCTTTGAGATGACTAGCCACAATGACCATTTAGCCTTAACTGCCTGAGGAGCCATTGCTGAGCCTACAGTGAGGAGAGCTAATACATGATTGCTGCTGTTTTAAGCACTACATGTTTTGGATGGTTTGTTATAGAGCAGTGGATAATTAGAACAGAATACAATGCATACCCGTGTCATTCTAAGTCCTCAAAAAAATTTTTTTTGTAAAGTAATGGGACTAAACTGGAATATCTTTTAAGGTCAGTCCTTCTACTTCAAAAGATCTGTCTTACTGTTTGTGAAATCCAACCTGGTTGTTAGCTAACCACAGTAATTGAGAATCCCACATGGTTGGAAATTCCAAGCAGTGCATTCCCGTTCTACATACGGACCCTTTGCTCTCAATGCCTATTTAGACTGGATTATAGATGAATTTCCACAATCTCTTTACCCTCCTCTCTTGCAAGCTAGTTTGCATGAAAGAAGCATAGAGAAGAGAATTTCTGTCATGAATAATCCCACTGTTTATCCTGTAAGAATTCTACCTTTTCTTGGCCTTTGTTAGCATAATGTGTCATCAATCATGAACAGAAAAAGCAGGTTCAGTGGATCATATCTATAATCCTGCCTCTTGGGAGGTTAACAGTGGGAGAATTGTGGTTTGAGGTCAGACCAGGCAGAAAAGTTTTCAGAACCCCTTCTCAACCCATAACTGGGCACAGTGGCACAAACCTGCTATCTTAACCTACATGTGCTCTGTGATTGGGAAGGTTGAGGTTCAAGGCCAGCTGGGACAAAAAAATCCACAAGACTCCCATCTCAACTGAGGGAAGCTAGATGGAGTAGCAGATCCAAACAACTACAATAAGCCTAAAAGTGGTATAATGGTCCAAGTGCTCATCTAGGCTAGAAGAGAGACCCCTCTCAAACATAATGGTGTAGGTGCTCACCCAGGAGGAGAGACACCTTCATAAACATAGCCAGTGAGGCTGAGCACCGATGGCTCAGAGCTGTAACCCTAGTGACTCAGGATCAGGATCTCAGGATCTCAGTCTTGAAGGGTATGTTTTGAAGCCATCCCAAACAGAACTGTTCATGACTATCTCTACTTACTTAACCAGCAAAATTCTGGGCTGGAGGTGTTGCTCAAGTGTTGGAATGTCCAACAGAAAGCTGTGAGAAAGAGCAGGAATCCGAGTTCAGCATGCACATACACATTTGCGCATATGTATGCATGTATGCACACATGTACACATGCACACAACCAATTAAAACATGGCTGGAGGTGTGGCTTAAACCTCACTCCCTCCAGCCCCCCAAAAATGGGGATAAAAAGAGGCTTGTAGTTTCTTCTGAATGTTATAGTTTGCAGTCAGCTATAAATGTCAGTAAATGATCTTATAATGACCCAAATAAATGTCATTTATTAAAAAAAAAAATGTGGCTCAGTGGTAGAGTACATGCATAGCAGGTGTGAGACCTTGGGTTCAATTCCCAGCACTGCAATAAAAACAAAAAAGTATTCATATTTGAATATACTAACCATACCAATATATTCCTTTAAGAAAAACATCCATTTACTTTTTTTTGGTGCTAGTCCTGTGGCATGAACTCAGGGCCTGGGTGCTATTCCTGAGTTTATTTGCTTAGAGGGCTTGGGAGTGGGGAGTGTTTTCCACCCTTACTCTCATAATAGGTATTTATTTGAAACTAAAAAGACACTGGGAATTTTAAGGTGTGTGTGTGTGTGCACACATGCTCATGTATACAGGTCCTAGAGCTTAGGGCCTGGGTGCTGTCCCTGACCTTTTTTGCTCAGTGGTCTGCCCTTCTGGTATATAAGTCTTATGGACCTTCCTGCCCAGGCTGGCTTCCAGCCACTACCCTTAGATCCACATTGTATTTGGAATGGGAAATTATATTTATTATGCCACATGTTCATGCCTCTTGCCCCCCATGCTGCTTATCACATCCTAAATATTGGTTTTAAATAAGATTCCCACAAAGAAAATACTGCTGGCCAAATAAATACCTTGTTGTTTAGTATAATTTAATAAAATGTGATATAAAGTTTTTTAAATAAAGATATTAACATTAAAAAGAATAGGAATTTTGAAGGACATTGAAGAGAAAGTGATGTAATCATGTGAATATTTTTATCTCAACATATAAGGAGCATTATCTGTAATAGGCATGAATGATGTTGGGATTTACTTTAGACATATTTGTCCCACTTGGAGTTTTGTTTTGTGTTATCCTGCAAAGTCTTCATGGCTGGTGTGTCCATATGGAAAAATATTTCTAGTTTTAGTTTTATGCTTTTCATGGTGCCAGGAATCAGATCCAAGGCCTTGTGTGTGCAAGGCAAGCTCTCTTCTGCTGAGCTACACCTGTCCCTAAGGAAAACATTTCTTTCTCCTTTATTTAATATCTAATGGATATTGCAAAGAAGTATAATTGGAGATTCCTGCTAACCTTCTAACAGTTTACAAATTCTTTTAAGAAAAGTTCCTAGTGTACCTGGTATGTGGCTCAAGTAGTAGTGATGGCCTTCCAGCTCAAGGTTAAACTCTAGTACTACCGCCCAAACGCCACAAAGTAAAGTGAGAAGAGAGAAGAAAGAACAAAGAGTGAGAGAAGGGAGGGAGGAAAGGGGGGAGAGAGAGGGAGGAAAGAAAGGGAAAGGAAAGGAGAGAGGATGGGGGAGGGTTTCCAAGCTTACCTGAGGTACTGTAGTAGTTGACCATGACTCTGTCCCCATTGGGAGCTCTCAACTGGATTGCACTTCCTGAGCATCTAACAGCCTTTATAAAAGCCTTCACTGGATGGACTAGGGAACTCCTTCTCCACTCTTTTTGCTAACTCAGTCTTTTTTCCACACAGAGAATCAGGAAGAGAAAGGAACAGCACAAGCATCAGCATTTCCATCTATTCACTACTCCTAAAGAGAACAAGAGACACCTAGTAGTTTATATTAAAACTGAGGAACTTTACATTCAGGGAATACCATGCTGTTAAACAATTATGAGTAGTAAGATACTGAGCAAGACTTTTTTTGTTCTTGTTTCATCCAAGGCTGTTCACTATACAAGCAACCCTGAAAAGAGAACAAAGTTTCTGTTGCCTCTTCCTGCAAGATGCACAGAAACGTGAAAGAGCCACGAAGATTTGTCTGCTGTGCTGTTTTCCCTGTGTAGATATTTATTACCCATCTTCCCCTGAGACCTTTTAGGTTTCATGAGAGTAGAATGGTCTTACCTGAAATTCCTAAAATAATACTTGTCCCTGGATACATGCTTGACAAGTACTTGTTGAATGAATGTGATTGTTTAATTGATTGCCTAATGGTATATTTTGGAATGATGAGAAAAGTAACTTAGGTATGTTTGTGTTTCTGTTCACATATCTTGCTGGTGTTTTAGGCTTTTTTTTTTGTCCAGGCCTGGGGCTTGAACTCAGGGCCTGAGCATTGTCCCTGAGCTTCTTTTGTTCAAGGCTAGCACTCTACTACTTGAGCCATAGTGCCACTTAATGGCCTTTTCTGTGTATGTGATACTGAGGAATCAAACCCAGGGCTTCATGCATACTAGGCAAGCACTCTACCACTAGGCCACATTCCCAGTCCTTGCTGGTTTTAGTACTATGTTTAATTATAATCTGAAAATAAACTTCCATTTTAACGTTGATCTTTAATTATCAAATCTGATAAACATACAACATTGAAAGAATAGTCCTGGAAAGGGGAATTTTTTTTTTCTGAAACATGATGCATATTTTAATGTGGTTTTAACCTTTGAAGCAAATAACTATACATACAGACACAAATCAATAATAGCAATAAGACCATAGAATACTGAATTATGATCTAGTTAGATCATAATTAGAATTTTAGCTGATTTTTTGCTTTGTTTTACTGGGGGTCTCAGTGATTAGCTTCTGTTTCATTAACTACAATACTTGGCTTATGCTTAAAACTTTGTTACTTGAGTTTACGTTACTCTCCTAAACATATCACAAATGAGAATTTTCATTTCCTGACATGTTCATGGGTTGTAGTTCATTTATAGTTCTATTGGGCGGTATTATAAAATGGGAAGGGTAGAGTGCAGTGGCTATAGTTACGTCACTAGTGTAACACAGCCTTGGATAAATAAGTACCTGTATATATCACATTTTCTACTGTACTTAGATTAAGTAAGAGTACGTTCTTTTTAATGTTTCAATTCCAGATCTCTTTGGAGTTTGTATATTCCTACAACAATCTTTTATTATTCTAATTTTAGGTGATGTCCTTGTTGCTGTGAATGATGTTGCTGTGACCTCAGAAAACATAGAGAGAGTTCTGTCTTGTATTCCTGGACCCATGCAGGTCTGAACATTCTTTTGCAACATTTTACAATGAGTTATATGAAATACATACATTTTGTATTTCTTTTTTAAGATTATGAAAATTATCATGCTTAATATGTGAATTACATTTATTCTTGAATATTTAAGAAATACCTTTGTAGTATTTTTCTAAAAATAAAAATCATTCTAAATGAAGCAGCAATAGCAATAATAATAGAAACATACATAATTACCACCTTGCCATTTTAACTACCATATGTACTGATCGATACCAATCTAGTTTCTAGAAGAGTCATTTTAAACAGCTATTCAGTGGTCTGTTTTGTGAGGGTGTTTTTGTTTTTGTTTATTTTTTGGGGGGTCCGGTCGTGGGGCCTGAACTCTAGGCCTGGGCGCTGTCCCTCAGCTATTCAGCTCAAGGCTAGCGCTCTGCCACTTGAGCCACAGCGCCACTTCTGGCTTTTTTCTTTTTGCTTATATGGTGCTGAGGAATCGAACCCAGGGCCTCATGCATGCAAGGCAAGCGCTCTACCACTGAGCCACCTTCCCAGCCCCTGTTTTGCTTTTTTGGTTAGTCATAGGGCTTGAACTCTGGGTCTGGGCGCTGTACCTCAGCTCTTCAGCTCAAGGCTGGCACTCTACCACTTGAGCCACAGTGCCACTTCTGGTTTTCTGGTGGTTAATTGGAGATGAGTCTCATGGACTTTCCTGCCCGGGCTGGCTTTGAATTGCGATCCTCATATCTCAGCCTCCTGAGTAGCTAGGATTACAGGCATAAGCCACCAGCGCCCAGCTTGTTTTCTGAGTTTTTGAAACAATTCATGCTAGAAAATTTTTAATACTGTTTTACTTTAGTATCTTCTTATACTATTTTCTTGATTTTTGTTACTTAGGTAAGCTTTCATCCTGAACTGTTGGGAGTTAAAAATAAATTTCTCCTATAAGTCACATGATACTCTAAATATCAACATTTTATATTATAAATTACATTTTAAGATACTCAATGCATTTTGAAAGTTCTTTTCCTTTTCATAGGAATACTCTTTTCAATGTTCTCTTACTTGGAAGGTAGACATTATATGCTTTAAGTAGGTTAGAGGATCCATCAGACAGTGAGAGGATGAAGTAGTTTTCAGATTCGTTAACATGAATAAAATCCTTGATATGTCAGAATCATGTATCTGCTTTGATATTCTGTAATAAGATCCATGATGAAATTCCCTGTTTTCTAAAAAATAAGATTTCTTACATTCACTATCTTCTCTGAAATACACCACCATACATTTCCACTAACTTTGTAAATTTAGATATCCTTAGAAAGTTAAAATGAACAATGGAATAACTGATAGCTACGGACAAGCAATGACTACAGATGGCTAAGCGGATATAGGTAAAGACAGGGTGGTGTTTGAAATATTAGCCCTTAGAAACCAATTCGCCATTATCCTCTTTAGTCTCTAGATGTTAGGAGAGGACTTGGTTGGGACAAGGTACTAAGGTACCTCAAGAGACTTAGCAGCTAGTAAAAAATAAGTAACCAAGAATTGTAGCATTTTCACAGCTGAACCAGCCTTCCCCAGATAAAGTGGCTACATATCAGAGTTCTTCATTTCTTGCCTATGTCAGTTGCAGTACAGGTGGAATGACAATTTTGCCAGAACTCAATCATGTTTATATTTACTATAAAATTACATTATACTTACATTTAATTAATGATTGCAGATTCATTTGTATATAAGCATAACATAAGAAAGAAAGAAATAGCTGAGTGCTGGTGACTCAGGCCTGTAAATGTAGCTACTCAGGAGGCTAAGATCTGAGGATTATGGTTCAGAGCCAGCCCTGGCAGGAAAGTCTGTGAGACTCTTACCTACAGTAAACCACCAGAAAACTGGTGGTTTACTCAAGTGGTAGAGCGCCAGCTTTGAGCTGAAGAGCTGAGGAACAGCGCCCAGGCCCAGAGTTCAAGCCCCACAACCCACCAAAAAAAAAAGAAAAGAAAGAAATTATGGTTTGACTGTTTTGGGCATATCTTCAGTAAATATACAAAAGCAACTATGTATTTGCTATTGGTCCATGTCCTACTTTAAAGAAAGATAGGCATTTTGCAATAGTATATGCGGTTGTATTTTTTATACAGTGTAACTTTAAAGTGCCACAGCTTTATGCCACAGCTCTACTTCTGGCTTTTGTTAGGTGGGTAGTTAATTGGAGATGAGTCTCACACAGACCTTCCTGCACTGGCTTCTCTTTGTACTGTGAGATCTTGACTTCTTAGCTTCCTGAATAGCTAGGATTATAGATGTGAGCTACTGGCACCCAGTTAGGAGATTACTTTAAGAATGGAAGAAGAACTGAGTTAAATTTATGCATTGAGAAACTATATTGTACTCCAAAATGGCATTGCTTCCCTAATACAATTTTGAAGATACTTTGTTTATATACAACTTCAGAATATAATCCCATCATGAGCAAATATCATTAAATCTATTATTTTAGAAAGATGTATATTATAAAGGTAATGCATCTATAGTATTATATTTTGGAAACCACAAAAAAGTAACTAAGGAACAAATTTCTCCAGTACTCAACTACTATAATATTTTAGTGTACTTTATTATGATGTTATTTTCTGTGTATAAACATTTGTTAGTTTTGCTAGTAGATTGGGTATTATAACTGTGTCTTTCTCAAAAAACGAGCACCTGTGTTTAGGTAATGAATGGCTAATAACTATATAGAATTTAGACTTCTTAACTAGAAACCAAAATAGACCATGTTTTCCTTTTTTATTGTTGAAAGGGGGTTTTCTGTTACAGCCATTTCCCTGAAGCCCTGTAAGTAGAACTAGATGGAGCCAGGAGTAAAATAGGGAAGGGGACTGATGTTCCCATATGGCAGGCAGTATGCTAAATGTATTACTTCTACCTTTTGGCAGTTGGAAAATGGACATATTCTTACCAATCTTAAGGTTAGGGTACAAAGCTAAAACTATGTTGATAGAACTGACCGTTTATCTTAAGGCTATGGTCCAGGACCTATTGTGTTGACAGGTTTTACCATCATTGGTCTTTACTGTAAAAGATCACAAAGAATGTCTGAGAAAATACTTGAAGTACCCCATTTGAAAAGAAAGTAAAATCTGGTTGTGTGAAGTTGATCTTGATCCTTTGTCTCTTCATTTTATCTCTTTCAGTTGACTCAGTGCTATCAGTATAATAATGTAGTATAACTTGAATACATTCTCACTTCATACTAAATTCTGATCTTTTCATGGCATTTCTTGTTTTTGTAGTCAATAATTAAGAACAAATAAATTAAATTACTCCTCAGTAAAGTTTTATACTGGTCAGACACTGTGCAAGAAGCTAGATACAAGTATAAACCAGTGGAACATATAACCTCTTCTATCAGGACTCTTTGCTCTAGAATGACTTATCCATACAGTGTACACCTTCTTTGAAAAATGCAGCCAATTTTGCCTCATCTTAATTTTTAAGGTGAAACTGACATTTGAAAATGCATATGCTGTGAAAAAGGAAACTATCCAACCAAGAAAGAAAAAGACACAGACAAACACAAGTGATTTAGTGAAGCTCTTCTGGGGAGAGGAGGTTGACAGCATCCAGAATCCTCCACATTCTCCACACATCATCATGTATCTCACACTGCATCTTGACTCGGAAACCTCAAAGGAAGAGGTGAGTGTGTGCTTGAAAGTGGAAGGTAAAAAGTAAGGACCTTTTGTAGTCTTTTCAGTAAATGTAGGCATGTTTTATTTTGGTTTAGGGAAGAATTAAAGCGAGTAACCTATTTTCAGACTTATTCCTTGTGTATTTTATTTATGAATGTTTCACACAACAAATGTTTTTTTAAACATAAGTGAATTAACTATTTAGTTGTTTCAAGCAGTAGGAAAAAGAGAAAGAAGATACTATTGCAGTATCTTCTAGCTTACAAGCTAAGCTCCTGTTCCCCTGTACTCTTGTTATCCTGAACTCCTTTTTTGATTAGTCTTTATTGAGGTATTGCTTTTTATATATTAAACTAAACTGTGTTAAATGGACAATTTGTTGAGTTTTGACAAATAAGTACAAATATAGTTGTGTAAACGTCATGAAAGGTTCTCACATTTTGTAATCAGTTACCTCTTCCCGTTTATGCTTTACATATTTTTAATTCATATCTCAGTGTTTTTTAAACAAGTGTGTCTGGTGTGGTATTAGATTTTATGCCTTTTTTTTTTTGAGGGGGGGCAGTCCTGGGACTTCAACTCAGGGCCTGAATGCTGTCCCTGACCCTCTTTGTGTTCAAGGCTTGAGCCACAGCACCACTTCTGGCTTTTTCTGAGCACTTTATTGGAGATAAGAATCTCACAGACTTTTTCTGCCTGGGCTAGCTTCTAATTGCGATCCTCAAATCTCAGTCACCAGAGTAGCTAGGATTACAGGCATGAGCCACCAGCACCTGGCTAGATTTTATGTCTTTTTAGTCATAAATAAGAAAATAATCTAGCAGGGCCCTGGAGGATCACACCTGTAATCCTAGTTATGCGGGAGGTAGAGATCGGAAGATTGGGATTTGAAGCCAATCCATGAGATTCTTATCTCCAGTTACCACTCAGAAAGGCCTAAATAGAATCCTGAAATTTGAATAGAAACCACATCTACAGAGATTTTTGAGCTTAAAGAACAAAGCTGTGGAGATATTATGCTACCAGACCTTGATATATACCACAAAGCTAAATATAACTAAAACAACATGAGTTTGACATAGAAACAGAAACCTAGATGACCAAGAGAACATAATAGAGTCCAGATATATCTTTATGCATTTAGAGCAACATAGGAGACAAGAAAATGGGGAAAGGACAGTCTCTTCAATAAATACTGTTGGAAAAATGACACGTCTACACAAGTTACAAATATCAATTTAAAAACTTTAAACAAACACATTTCTCAGATTTTGAAATAATATTCCTTTGTCTTTAGAGTTCTATCATTGAAGTCAGTCTGTCATTTTTTTTTGTCAGGAAAAAGTCCCAGCAAAGTCCTAGGAGCAAAGTCTTCTTTCCACTAGGCCTGTCCTCTGGCAACCAAAGACTACTATAGGAAAATGGGTTCATTTAAGATTTAAACCACAGCAAGCAGTTTCTCTGTCTTTTTTTGGGGGCGGGGAGGGGGGTCCGGTCGTGGGGCCTGAACTCTGGGCCTGGGTGCTGTCCCTCAGCTCTTCAGCTCAAGGCTAGCGCTCTACCACTTGAGCCACAGTGCCACTTCCGGCTTTTTTCTTTTTGCTTATGTGGTGCTGAGGAATCAAACCCAGGGCCTCAGGCATGCAAGGCAAGCACTCTACCACTGAGCCACCTTCCCAACTCCATTTTCTTATGTCTTTTTAAGGATCTTTGTCTGAACTTACTGCTTGATTTTTATCTTGGAAGTCTGATATTTGTAAAGTGGGAATACTCTCTAGCATTCTCTCTCTTGTACTTCAATTTCTGCCCCCTAATTAAGGGGCACTTTAGCATTGCCTGAGGATCTGGACTCAGTTTACTGCAGTGGTACATGGTGGCTCAGCTTGCCACTAGCCCAGCATTCTGTTGAAGCTATCGTAAGCATCAACCCTTAGGATATTGCTATCTCTGTCCTTTTGCTCAGCATGCAGAACTCCTAGCTGAATCCCAGCTTCTTTTGTAGTGATGGATGAGGAGGGTGGAAGAATATGTAGAGGATGCCTTAGAAACCTCAGTACTTCTTGCATGCCATCAGTTCAACTAGCCAGGAAGCTATTTTTACAATAGAAAGCTCTCTCAAAGCATTTAGTCTAATATAATTCTCTGAGCAAAAGTGAGATCTGAAAAATGTTTAACTATTCTGAATTTTTTAAGCCTCTATTCCCTACATTTCCTGTGTGGTTCATCTGTCAATGAATGGTTCATATATAATGAATTATTACATGGCAAAAAAGGAATGTACTATGTTTTTTAAATCATTTTCTTTGTTCTGAGCAACATATTGAGACCTAGAATTAATCATTCTTATTTCTTGTGTGTAATAGTGGCCCCTTATATCTCTAAAACAAGTGACACTTAGGAATTTATTATATAAAACATCCAACAAATGTCAAGGATAACATCCAGCATTATTCCAGGTTGCTTTGGAGTAGGGCACTACTAAGGCCTTTTGTCATCCTTGCCTCTTTTTCCCTGGGGAAGTGTGAACAGGTTTCTGTCTCTTCTAGCTATGTAATTAGGAAAGGCTTTTTATTCTTATTGAACAGAGTAGAGGCTGCTGCAAATGCATACTATTAACAAGTGCTTAAAAATGCAGCTAGTTAAATTGGGTAATAACTGAAGAGGTTGCCAGGTCTTTAATACTAAGGGTTTGTGATTAGTATAGAGACCTATTAAAATGGTCTCTTTTACTAGTCATACTACTCCTCAATGCAATGTCATAGGGTCATTTTGTTTGAGCTTTTATTTTTAATGAGAATCTTGAAATACTCTTCATTCTGCTTTTTTATGACATTATGTATTTGGTAAAAACTTGTCATTTTTTAGCTACAAGATGTAGACTGTAAGGACTATAATCTAAGAGATTTGAAAAACTAATCAGATTGTTTGAAATGGTGTTTGATGTTTCAGCTAAACCAGTGTGAAAGTACTTATTAAGAAGCATTTAAACGTATGTGTTAGATAGACAAAGCAGAAGACCTTAATTGATGTTTGACTTAATTTCTAAGGATAAAATAATGTTTTGTTACAGTGGAAATATTATAAGAAAGTTTGAGCCGGATGCCAGTGGCTCACGCCTGTAATCCTAGCTACTCAGGAGGCTGAAATCTGAGGATCGTGGTTCAAAGCCAGCCACAGCGTCACTTCCAGCTTTTTCTGTTTATGTGGTACTGAGGAATCGAACACAGGGCTTCATATATGCTAGGCAAGCACTCTACCACTAAGCCACATTTTCAGTCCCAAAGCAGCTATTTCTAGTTTATCATTATTTATATTTGTCCAGTTGTAAAAATTCCAGTATATGGGGGCTGGGAAGGTGGCTCAGTGGTAGAGCGCTTGCCTTGTATGCTTGAGACCCTGGGTTCGATTCCTCAGCACCACATAAGCAGAAAAAAAAAGCCGGAAGTGGTGCTATGGCTCAAGTGGTAGTGTGCACGACCTGACCACCCCCCCCCCCCCAAAAAAAAAATTCCAGTATATGGTCATCATGTTAGTAATGATTTCTAACACAAATAATTATCTTCTAACACAAGATAAACTATAGAGAGAATCAAGGAGATAGGATAATGCTTGAGGAGATCAGGCTTGTGACTGTTAATCTGTGAGGAACTGAAAGCCACTCTGAATCATTCCTGGTTTCCAACCAGATGTTTTTATTTTGCTTGTTTTTGAGTTGCCTTGTGAGAAATTTAGATGTTGCCTAATTAGCAGCAAAAAGTGAGAAATACAATGGCTCATATTTTTGTGTTTGAAAAGTATTAAGATGGACTGGAGGCTCAAGTGGTACACTGACATCTGTGAGTGGAAAGCCAAGCGAGAGCATTAGGCCATCAGTTGAAGTCCCAGTACTGGTGTGTGCGTGGGTGCGCGTGCGCACACACACTTATTACAAATACTAGCACATTGCACATCCTGAGCGATTTATTATTTTATCTATGTATGTATGTTGGTTGGTTGGTTGTGGGTATTGAACTCTGGGCCTGGGTGCTGTCTCTGAGCTCTTCAGCTCAAGGCTAACACTCTACCACTTAAGCCACAGCTCCATTTCCAGTTTTCTGATGGTAAATTGGAGATAAGAGTCTTATGGACTTGCCCCGGCTGGCTTGGAACAATGATGTTCAGATCTCAGCCTTTTAAGTAGGATTACAGGTCTTAGCCATTGGAGCCCAGCCTTATTAGTTTATTTTAATCAGCTGTTTGTATACTTGGAATATACTGTTCTTGAAAATAGAGAAACACCTCACATTCTTTTTTTTTTTCTTTTCTTTTTTTTTTTTTGTCGGTTGTGGGGCTTGAACTCTGGGCCTGGGCGCTATCCCTCAGCTCTTCAGCTCAAGGTGAGCACTCTATCACTTGAGCCACAGCGCCACTTCTGGATTTCTGGTGGTTACTTGGACTTTCTAGGTCAGACTGGCTTTGAACCTCGATCCTCATAGCGCAGCCTCCTGAGTGGCTAGGATTACAAGTATGAGCCACCAGCACCCAGCTGCACATTCTTAAAAACCATTTGTGGATTATCTTACTGACTAGAATAACATATACTCTCCTTTAACATTTGAATTTAAATTAATTTGTAGTATGCAAATACTTTCAAATTTAAGAAGGGTAAGATTATAAAACATCACCATATGCTTTCTATTTATACTACTTTATTGTTGCATTCTCACTTTGCAAGTATAATTGCAGTTTTGTCTTAAATTTAAATACATATTTTATGATTTTATCCCAAATGAAGAAATGATCTTTTATAAGCCAGTTGAAGGAATTTGTATTTGAAGACTCCTGATAGTTCCATGTGGTGTGTAAAGTTCTATTAACTGTAGGTAATAAGAATACATACAGAATGAAATGTAATGAAAGATTAAGAATAGAAATTGTTAACAGTGATTAAAGTTTAAAAGACTTAGAAATTGTAATTTCAAATAATCAGTATCCTAATTAGTATATATTTTAGTAATATGACCAATTGGCAGTTTCTGACTTATTTTCAAATATAGTTTTAATTTAATTTATTATCTAGAGAGAAGGAGGATTTTATAGCGGCACAAAATGGAATGGTAAATCTGACCCCAAAGCCTAAGAAGGCACATTGGCAAATGGGTTGTTTTAAATGCTAATTTAAAGATTCAAGGCATGCTTCTTCCATGGGTATAAAACCTCACTGAAATTGAAAAGATTATCTTTTCTGTTCTTGATACAGAATCTGAACTTGCCACAACAAAAATAATAGTTGGAAATTTTGGTGTAGAGAGAGTTCATCATTTATGTTTCCTTTCATTTAACAGCAGGAAATTCTGTATCATTATCCAAAGTCTGAAGCATCTCAGAAACTAAAAAATGTGAGAGGGATTTTTCTCACACTCTGTGACATGCTGGAAAATGTAACCGGGACACAAGTTACCAGGTAATCATTAATTTCTATTTAGTTCTTTTCTTGAGTGTATCTGGTTCTGAAGTGCTGCATATACTGGTATCTATAATGTGTAGGTATCTGTATTGATGGGATATCTGCAGATATTTTGTTCATTGGCATTATGCCCAGAGTCATCTACTTGATTTATATAGTAGATTTTTCAATACAGCTATAGAGCTGGGTGTTTGGGCACATTTTAATGAATAGTGTTTTAAGTTCTTCATAGGGCTGGGAAGGTGTCTCAGTGGTAGAGCGCTTGCCTTGTATGCATGAGGCCCTGGGTTCGATTCCTCGGCACCACATAAGCAAAAAAGAAAAAAGCCAGAAGTGGCGCTGTGGCCCAAGTGGTAGAGCGCTAGCCTTGAGCTGAAGAGCTAAGTGACAGCGCCCAGGCCCAGAGTTCAGGCCCCACTACCAGACCCAAAAAAATAATAATAATAAGTTCTTCATAAAAGTATTATCTTTTTTCAGCATGGAATTATGATTCCAGCTTCTTCGTGTTTTTACTGTGATTGTTACTTTGTTAGACAATGCTTTTGTAGTTGGCAAGAATGACTAAATAGTGATTTTTTTCACAGAAAAAAATACTGTTTTCACAGAAGTGATAGAAAAGTATAGTGTAGTATAGTGATAGAAAAATACAGTAATTACTTTAGGATATATATTCAGAATTTATTGTCCCCTGTAAGCAAAATTAATGTCAAATAATTTTTGTGTGTGTGTATAGGAGGGTACTAGGATTTGACTCTGGGCCTACTGCTTTCTCGGCTTCTTGCTTATAGCTTATACTCAGAGCCATGCCTCCAGCTTTGCTTTTTGCTGGTTAATTGGAAAAAAAAATCTCAATAGACTTTTTCTGCCAGTCTGGCTTGGAATTACAGTCTTAGTTGGTCTCAGCCTCCTGAGTAGCTAGGATTATAGGCAAGAGCCACTAGTGCTTGCTGCAAATTCAAATTTTAAACATTAGGGCTGGAGATGTAATTCACTCCTAAAGCAGTTGTCTAGCATATATGAAGCTGTGGAAATGATTACTAGCACTTAAGGGAAAAAGAAAAGAAAAGTTCTAACATTGTATAGTTAGCTATAGAGCCAAACACCCATTCCAAATTGATTTATCAAGCCCCGACTTTAAAGTACCCTAATTAATTTGAGATGAGAGAATTCAATGCTTTTGAAGTTTGTTTTTATAAAAATGATGATTTTTTCCTTAATATTTCATTACATTTGGAGCTTATAAAAATTTCAAATTTTAAGAGCCCTGTATTACTCATGAAATAATAAGTTGGAGTTTTAAGGCTGTTTTTCCTTTTCCTACTTTCTCATAAATATTATACTATTACATTTTAAAAGGTAGTGTCTGTTAGAGAATAGGAAGAATTTGTTTTCCTAGATAAAAGTCATGCTTAAATCCATGAGTTTTAATGTGGTCATAAATAGAAATTAGTTCATTCTGTCAACAGTAGTACTCAAAACCTCATTTAGGGTATAAATTGCATTTATAAAAGCACTTTACCAGACCTCTTTTTATTTGTATTTATATTTCATTTTACAATGAGGCCTCCCACTTTGCGGGGCAAATGCTATATACCACTGTCCTGTACCCCTAGTCCTATTTTTCACCTGTGTGGGGCGGGGAGGGGGTATGTGTGGTATGTGCATGTGGCGTGTGCGTTCAGTCCATCCTGGGGCTTGAACTCAGTGCCTGGGCATTATTAATGCCTGTGCTTTCTAGCTCAAGGCCAGCACTCTACCACTTGAGAGCCACAGCTCCATTCATGGACTTCCTGTCCTGGCTGGCTTTAAGCCAGTATCCTCAGCTCTCAGCCTCCTGAGTTGCTACAGGTATGAGCCACCTGAACCTGGCTTCCCCCCCCTTTCCCTTTTTAAATGGTTTGTTGAGAAATAGAATTCATAAACATAAAATTCATAAAATCACAGATTTTAAAGGTGTACAAGTAATAATTTGATTTATATTCAGATATGTATAACTACCCCAAAGTCAATTTTAGAACAGTTTTATCACCTCAGAGAGAAATGCTGTGCCTTTTAGCTACCAGCTTGCTTAACTGTACCCTGTCCAAGCCCTATACATGTATGAATGGAATCATATATGTGATTACTTGTGACTGTCTTCTACCATTTGCCATAGTATTTTTGAGGTGCAGGTCTCCTTTTAAAAGGCACCTTGTTTTATGTTTCTTTATGTAAAAGGCTATGTATGTAGCTAGCTCAGTAGTGTGGCAATGTGCTAGGTTCAATCCCTGGCACTGAGAAGGAAAAATAAAATTGAATTTCTTCATGTAGGTTCTTTTTTTATTTATTTATTTTTGTAGTTGTTGGTTGTGGGTCTTGAACTCTGGGCCCAGGCGCTGTCCCTGAGCTCTTCAGCTTGAGGTGAGTGCTCTACCACTTGAGCCACAGCTCCACTTGAAGCTTTTTTGGGTAGTTTATTGGAGATAAAAGTCTCATGGCCTTTCCTGCCTGGGCTGGCTTTGAACCTCAATTCTCAGATCTCAACCTCCTGAGTAGCTAGGATTACATGGGTTCGCCACCAGCGTCTGGCTGCTCTTTTTTAATACCTTATGGGATAGATAATTATCTTATTTAATATTTAGGTCTTGTTATTAGTGATGAGGTATGAGTTAAACATGTACAGTAAAACCAGAGAAATAATTTTAAAGAAACAATAGATGTGATTTTTACTATTTTAGGGGTTCCTTAGCAATATGAATATCTTGGTGCATTCATACTTTTAAAAACCTTTGTAAAAATGTTAGGTGATATGACAAAATTAACGGGACTTAAGAAACAAAGAACTTCCACTCATCTGGTCGAACCACTACTAAATAACCCCATGCTGCTGATCACACGTATAGTATATATGTGTACACTGGAGGGGAACCAGGAAGACGACACAGAATTAGAGGGAATCAGGGAAAAACATACAACAGTGGGACCCATTAGCTGCACTGGACATTGACCAAAATGAACTAAGCAACTTAATGGCAGCGATGGGAGGGGGGGAACAAATGGGAAAGAGGGAACAGCTGACGCTATGCAAAACAAAAGAAATGTACATACCACCCAATGTGGAAGAAATAACTGTATTGCAAAGCTCATAGAACTCATAAATGTTATAGACCGTGATAGACAATTTGCTCCAGGAAAGTTAGAATGTGTTTGTGACTTTAACTGAGCATCACTATCCCACAATACTGTGAAATTTGGGAAAGTATATAATCACTTAATCAAAAAATAAAAAATTAAAAAAGGAAAAAAAATAGAAACCTTTGTAAAAGTATTCATTTTTAAATGAGTACATAAAATAGTAAAGAAAAACATTAAAAATAGTAATAAAGATGTTTGGTAATTCATACATATTTAAAAATCTATGCACTTACATTCTCTGTATTTCCATGATTCATTGTGTCTCTTTTGAGAATACATTAGCTTTTTGCTGCTTCATGACATGTACTCGACATAAATTGTGCAGGTGTAAAATACACAGTTTTATCAGTTTTGACCTAAGTATATGTCCTCAAAACTATTCCATAGTTAACATACCCATTACCCCCAAGAGTTTCCTTGAGAACATTCTTAATGTCTGAGTTATGTTTTGGTTACTTGTTTATATATTTAAGTCCCAGAGTGGACTGTCACCTTCTGAGCTGGGATGGCTTCCTTTAGCATGTCATATTCAAAAGTGAGCAAAGGTATAATATACCAACTGGTATGGAAACTTTCTTTTGAAGAAAACAATGAGTCTACTTTTGGTTGGCCTATATTAATTTGGATTGTTTCTGTTTTTTAAAAATTTTAGAAAGTATTTTTGTTCTGATGTAATTCCCTACCTTTTCTTTATGACAGTTAGAAATTTGCATATTTAATATTGACTTTTAAAATCATACTGTTTAAGTCATGCCAAAGCTTACAAATAAGTTAACTTTATGACATTTAAAGATAATCTAACTTCTTGAATTTATTTTTCCTTAGTTCATCCCTCCTTTTAAATGGGAAGCAAATTCATATAGCTTACTTGAAAGAGTTTGACAAGTTGTTGTTAATTGGCCTACCTGCTGAAGAGTAAGTTGAGATTTTTATTTAATATAAGAAATATTGGTAACAAATCTGGTATCATTAAAATGGTGACATTTGATCAAAAGACAGACTACTAATGAGTGTTGTGATGTAACGCTATGTTGTGCAAGTGTAGTGGTTACCTATATTCATCTAGTATGAATAGGGTATAAAGATGCACCGAGGTTCCTCTGGACACACAGAGGCTATGGGCTATCTGTACACTTTTCTCTTTGGTGATACAGAGGTGGCTGATAGATGAGCTTGTCTTCTGCTCAGAATTTTAACAGTGTTTTAATACAGATTTTACATATTTTCAATTTACTTACCGTTGTTGGAAAATTAAGGGTCAGCAGAAGGATATTTTGTCCAAGGTTGAAGGTCTTTAACAAAACATTGAGTACCTATAACTTTCCTAGTGATACATCTTAAACGATTACATCTTCCTCATAGCTTTTTTTTCAAGTATTTTGAAATACATCTTATTTTTGTAGTTAGTAATAGAGGCATGATTGACACTCATAATTAACTGACCATGGACTGGTCTGAACATGGACTGTATGAGGTGCTTTATTTTAATTAATCCCATTTAATTTTAACTATTAGCTCCAGATGTACTAGTGATTAGTGGCTCCATTTTACAAATGAGTAAAGTGAAACCAAAAGTAAAGCTTAGGAGTCAGATAATCAGCATGAGGTTGAAGTGGAAACTGAATCAAAATATGAGTTCTTCCTACTATATGGATTTTAAGAAAGAAAAGTGGACCAAAAACTTTCAAAAGAACAAAACCATCATCCAGCCAATCTGAGCTATTATATACCACTATTTTCTATTTGTTAACCAGATTTCTTTTTGTTATGTAATAGTAGTTATCTATTTCTGCATAATAAACTATTTAAAAAAACTCTATTTAAACTGAAGAGGTAAACATTTATTATCTCATAGATGCTTAATGGCTCAGAAATCTAAGAGCAATGTTAAGTCGTTGTGGCTTTTGGTCTTGGAACCACGGTGGATTACACCCTCAGTTACTGCCTTGGTTCCTTGCCACAGATACCTCTCGTTAGAGCTACTTGGGTGTCCTTAAAACATGTCAGCTGGCTTCCCCCCAAAATCAAAGTGTCTAGAAGGGAAAGGAAAGTGGCAGGACCTTTTGAGTTCAGTCTTAGAAGTGATATACTGTATATACAGACAAGAAGTGAGTTGATAAGTTCTCAAGAAGAATTTCTTGAGAAAAGTACTTGAAGATGGCTGCAATAAAAAAAAATACCAGAATTATGTTTTAAGCTGGGTGTTAGTGACTCACACCTATACTTTTAGCTATTCAGGAGCTAGCTTGGGCAGAAACTCCATCTCCAATTAACCGGCACAAAACAGGATAGGCTCAGTTTGTAGAGTGCCTTGAGTAAGAAAAACTAAGCAAGCTTCAGAGGCCAGTGGCTCACGCCTGTCATCCTAGCTACTCAGGAGGCTGAGATCTGAGGATTGCAGTTCAGAGCCAGCCCGGGCAGGAAAGTCCTTGAGGCTTTTACCTACAATAACCACCAGAAAACTGGAAGTGGCGCTGTGAGACAAGTAGTAGGGTGCTCACATTGAGCTAAAGAACTGAGGGACAGCACCCAGGCCCAGAGTTAAAACCCCACGACCAACAGGAAAAGAAAAACAACAAGCATGAGGCCAAGTTCAAGCCCCCATACTGGAAAAAAAAAGTTTTTATGTTTTGAAGGCTTAATTTTGATAAAAGAGATACAATTATATATGTGGGTTTCAAAAATGTTAACATGAAGGGCTAATGGTGCTTTGACACCCACCTGCTGTATGTGGCACTCTGTCTGTGAATGGATTATAATGGACTGTGGTAGGAGGCTGCTGGATACCAGTGAGTTGGAATATGAAGAACTAGGTAATTGAAAGTATGAGTTTATAAGAATTAGAGAATAGGGGCTGGGAAGGTGGCTCAGTGGTAGAGCACTTGTCTTGCGCGCCAGAGGCCCTGGGTTCGATTCCTCAGCACCACATAAGCAAAAAGAAAAGAGCCGGAAGTGGCGCTGTGGCTCAAGTAGTAGAGTGCTAGCCTTGAGCTGAAGAGCTGAGGGACAGCGTCCAGGCCCAGAGTTCAGGCCCCATGACCGGACCCAAAAAAAACCCCAAAAAACAAACAATAAAATCTTAAAAAAAAAAAAAAAAAAGAATTAGAGAATATCCAGTATAAAATAATTCAGGAAATAATGGCAGAGGAAAACATTTGTCTTAAGATTTTTTTGTAGTAATCCAAAAGACAAGAGAAGAAACAAACAAAAACACATTAGGAGCACAGGAAGTTAGAGAAGGAAAGGAAGGAAACAGCCATAGCTGGTAGACGGTTTGTTAAATTTACACATTGAACTTATGCTAGAGTTTACCTATTTGATTCTTGCTAGAAACCTAAATCTGGAGCTAAAGGTGATCAAGTACTAATGTAATAAGCACTGGTTTTCCACAGTTTGACTCATAATTGACATATAGACCTTATATATAGTCTTTTAGATATATATCATTGTGATTATGCTATAAATAAAAAAGGCATATTTTTGGTCTTCCTAGAGTTCCTCTTCCCCAACTAAGGAATATGATAGAAGATGTTTCCCAAACCTTAAAATTTATGTATGCTTCTTTAGATGGGTAAGTATTTCTTTGAACTAATCTCAAAGGTTTTTTCTTTCTGTTTTTGTGCCAATCTTGGGGCTTGAACTCTGGGCCTCGGTGCAGTCCCTGAGCTTGTTTGCTCAAGACTAATGCTTAACTACTTGAGTTACAGCTTCACTTCCAGTATTTTGGTGGGTAATTGGAGATAAGAGTCTCATGTACTTTGCTATCTGTGGCTTCACATTAGCATCCTCAGATCTCAGCCTTCTGATTAGCTTCAATTACAGGCAAGAGCCACTGGCTTCAAAGTGGTTTTGAATATATGATTTTATACTGCCTTCTGCACTTTATAGTACTTTTAGTTGTTTGGCTATCCTTTTCATCCTTATAACTTTCATATTTTACTACTGTACTGGGTTTTCTCTTATAATGCGAAACAGTTTTTCCACTTAGTCCATCCCCCTCCTTTTTTTTGGTCAGTCATGGGGCTTGAACTCTGGGTCAGTGCGCTGTCCCTGTGCCCCTCAGCTCAATACAAGTGCTCTACCACTTGAGCCACAGCATCACTTTCAGTTTTCTAGTGGTTTATTGGAGATAGGAGTCTCTTGGGGACTTTCCTGCCTGAGTTGGCTTTGAACTGTGATCCTCAGATCTCAGCCTCCTGAGTAGTTAGGATTACAAGCGTGAGCCACAGGCGCGCAGCTGTTCCTTTCCTTTTTCCTGTTTTTTGTTTTTTTTTTTTTAATTTGGTCTCACTCATATTACTTTAGTAAAAACTTTTTGTGAAAAATACTATTCTTGATGCTATATTATAATATATACTGATATAATATATACTGCTTTATTTCTGTAGGGACAAAGGTTAAGTATTTTTGTATAATATAGAAAGAAGAGTAAAATTTTAAATGACCTCGTTTTTCTGTTTGAGAACATTACTAAATTTCTTTCAAAGTTTTTAGCTAAAAAAATCTATTGACTAGTTTCATTAAGATACACTTATTAAGCTACAAATCTATTGACTAGTTTCATGTGTATTCTTCCCTATATTTTCTGACCAATATGAACATAATGCTCTTTTTTTATACAGCTAATCCATATTACATGTTTTTCTGCTTCTTGCTTTTGTAACCTTATAATATGATGCATATTTCTGTATGTAAAGGAATAAGTCTAAAGTAATTGTTAAACATTTGAACATACAGAATTCGGATATTTGTTGGATGAAGCAGTGAACATTACTTTGGAATGTCATTATTGTATGTACTAGTTACTGTATCATGTAGGGAACCATTCAAATTAATAGTTACAGTTAATGCTCTGTTTCATATGGTGAAATCCTAGCATTCAATAGCTCTCTTTTCCTCCCCTCCCTCGCTCTTCTCTCTCTTTAATAATAATGCCTACAGTTGAGGGAAAGAATAATTTAGCTCCTTATTTTGTAATTACTTGTACACTAGTAATGACTGTGGTAAGAAAGAATACTTATTATATACAAGGTAGTTTGCTTATGTTTGATTGTCTTAACTCCAGAGTTACAGAAATTCAGAGACAGATTAGGTTATTTATCCTGTGATAATGATCTAATAAGGACAACATTAAGATTCAAAGTCAAATGTGTACTATTACAAAGTCCAATCTTTTTATTATTCTGTTGCCTGAAAGACAATAGAAATTTCAAACGACAATGAAAGGAAAGAAAGAAAGTGAGAAATAACAGATAGGGTGAACTTCTAAATACTCTCTCCTCAGTAACAGTGTAACAGTGAGTGTGGACATGAGGGACAGAGAGAGTCTAGAAGTTAGGAAAGAGCCAATCTCCTTAGGAGCACACAAAAATGACCACCATAGGTTATTCTAACTTACAGCTCTTATTTTTTCAGCGCCTTTTGCCAGGTTGAGAACATACCTTGTTTGGATCATTTTTTCTACTTGTTCTTTCAAAGAGCACTTCAGCAGGCTAAGCTACATTCCAGTGTCTATCCCAGTGCTCAACAGTATGATGTTTCTAGTTCAGTACTTCTAGACAACCTCCCTGGAGTTCGGTGGCTCGTACTTCCACAGGAAATCAAGGTAATCTTACGTGATAAATAAGAATCAGAACCATTATCTCATTATAAGTCTTTACTTTCTTTTATTTTCCTTAGGCTTTTTGTAATTGTTGGGAGTATGGGTAAGAATTAATAAGGCAATTGAGCTGGGCAGTGGTGGCTTGTGCCTGTTATCCTAGCTACTCAGGAGGCTGAGATCTGAGGATCATGATTTGAAGCCATCTGGCACAGTAAAGTTGGTGAGACTCCTATCTCCAGTAAATGCCTCAGAAAAAGCCAGAAGTGACTGTGGCTCAAGCAATAGATACTAGCCTTGAGCAAAAAAAGCTCAAAGACAGCACCTAGGCCTTGAGTTCAATCCTTAGGACCAGCACTTTTTTTTTTTAAACAGGGTGGGGGGGCAATTGGTTAATGAGGTTGAAAGTCCAATGGAGTAAACTCAGCAAATGACTTTTTTTTTTATTTCTGCCAGTCCTTGGGCTTGAACTCAGGGCCTGTGCACTGTCTCTGAGCTTCTTTTGCTCAAGGCTAGTGCTCTACCACTTGAGCCACAGCACCACTTCCAGCTTTTTTTGTGTATGTGGTACTGAGGAATTGAACCCAGGGCTTCATGAATGCTAGGCAAGCACTCTACCACCAAGCCACATTCCCAGCCCCAGAAGATTCTTTATAAATCAAAATTGGGTCTTTATTTTTATTTTGTACTTAAACTTTGTCTAAACTCACTTCTTTCAGAAATCATAATTAAATTGTATATCTTAGTATAAAATTTTATGATTTTGATTTTTATAATGTAAAGTCAGAAACGAGGGTTTGGTTTTTCTTGTCAGTTGTAGGGCTTGAACTTAGGTTTAAGGAACTGTCCCTGACCTTTTTTGCTCAAAGCTATTGCTCTACCACTGAGACACGGTTTTCTGGTGCTTAATTGGAGATGAGTCTCACAGATTTTCTTGAACAGGCTAGCTTCCAACCACAATCTTCAGATCTTAGCCTCCTTAGTATCTAGAATTACAGGCAAGAGTCACTAGCACCCACCTTCAGAATTATGTGTACAGAATGATTAACAAATAGTGTTAATGAAAAAACTGATGTAATGAAATAGCTAGTTACTAATAGCAAAATAATTCATTTTTTTTCTCTTTTTCTTTTGTTGGTCGTGGGGCTTGAACTCTGGGCATGGGCGCTGTCCTTCAGCTCTTCAGCTCAGGGCGAGCACTCTACCACTTGAGCTACAGCGCCATTTCCGGTTTTCTGGTGGTTTATTGGAGATAGGAGTCTCACAGTCGTTCCTGCCCGGGCTGGCTTTGAACCGTGATCCTCAGATCTCAGCCTCCTGAGTAGCTAGCATTACAGGCGTGAGCCACCAGCGCCCGGCTTTTTCTCTTTTTCTTATTCTGGTGCCGCGTATTAAATCCTGGGTCTCTTAAATATATTCAACCACTAATCTACACTAGCAAGCCAGCAAAATCATGGTTTTTGTGGTGGTTGTTGTTTTATGGTATTGAGTATCAAACCCAGAGCGTTGTATCTGCTAGACAAGCACTTTTCCACTGTACTCAGCGCTAGCAAAATCATTCTTTACACAACTATATGTATTTAACTTTAATGAATTTTATAAATCCAGTATAATTTTGGAAGATATAATAAATTTTCAGCAGTGTGGCATATAATGTAATCTGTTTAGTGACAGCATTTTTGTCAGTCTTAAATGAAACACTAATCAGGCGCCAGTGGCTCATGCCTCTAATCCTAGCTACTCAGGAGGCTGAGATCTGAGGATTGTGGTTCAAAGCCAGCCCAGTTCAAGCCCGACAACCAACAAAAAAAGAAAAAAAAAATAGAAGGCCCTTTGCTCCAAGCCTGCCTCATGCCCATTCTAGGATCTTTTTGCCTTGGAGAAGCATGGGATCTTCAGAGTCACTTCTTAGGTGAGAAGATGCCAGTTCATGAGACTGCCATTCCAGTTGGCAGTTACTCAAGCTCTTGTCTGTCTCTTCATTAAAGACACCTCTTTCGGGCTGGGAAGTTGGCTCAGTGGTAGAGTGCTTGCCTTGCATGCCTGAGGCCCTGGGTTCGATTCCTCAGCACCACATAAGCAAAAAGAAAAAAGCCGGAAGTGGCACTGTGGCTCAAGTGGTAGGGCACTAGCCTTGAGCTGAAGAGCTGAGGGAGAGTGCTCAGGCCCAGAGTTCAGGCCCCACAACCGGACCAAAAAAAAAAAAAAAGACACCTCTTTCTTCAAAATAGATAGTTTTTGCTTTCCATAATAGTAGGTGTACTCGTTTTTAAGGATAATGTCTTTAGAATTTAGATACATTAATATTAAAATATGATCTGCCTCAGAAGTTCAAGACATTTAAAAGTGTATATATACTATATATATTTTTATTGTAAAGATACTGTACAGAGGGGTTAGTTACATGAATAAGGTAATGAGTACATTTCCTATCGATCATTGTTACCTCCTCTTTTGTTTTTCCCCTACCATCCCTTCCCTCTCCACCTCCCCAACCCCTCCCTCCCCCCCAAATTGTAAAGTTCATTTCCAACATAGTATCTTGTACATCTCGTTACAATGGGTCAACCTGTATCCTTATTTGAGCATTTTATTATTTCCCTTCCTCTCCCCAAATTAGAAAAATGTATACACAAGATGCAGAGCACCAGAATCAAATATAGTGAAAACAGGGGTTATACCATGGGGGAAGAACATACAAAAGAAACAGAAAATTTACATGGTACATTATAAATACATTAAAAACAACAAATATATATTAATTTATATTTTTTGTTGGCTGTGAGGCTTGAACTCAGGCCTGGGTGTTGACTTTTAGCTCCTTTGCTCAAGGCTGGCAAGCATTCTGTCACCTTGAGCTACAGCACCACTTCCTGTTTTCTGGTGGTTAACTGGAGATAAGAGTCTCATAGCTTTTCCTCTGGGCTGGCTTTGAATTGCTATTCTCAGGTCTCAGCCTCCTGAGTAGCTAGGATGACAGGCACCAGCTGTCAGCATCAGGCAAAAGTGTATCTATTTTGGTCATAAATTTCATCTGAATGCTGTACCTCATATTTGGATATCTTTCTTATTGGAGACTTTTCTTAATTTAACACAGTTTGGAGATCCTCATATCTCAGCTTCTTGAATAGCTAGGATTATATGTGTGAGCCTCCACTGCCCAGATATTAAACATTTTTTATATAGCCGTTTCTGGAAAATAAGTCCAATGTTCATATAATTTTTTTTCTTTAGATGGAATTAGACACAGCATTAAGTGACCTGGAGGCTGCAGACTTTTCAGAACTGGTAAGAGGAGGAGGGTTTTTAAGAAATTCTCAGTACTGAGGGTTTTTTTTTTTTAATTAACTTAATTGTACCTAGAAGGTTTTATCATATTTACAATTTGTATATAGCGTATTTGAATCAAATTTACTCTATGTGTTTTTTTTTTCTTAACCACTTCTCCACCTATTCCCTCTTTAACTTGTTGGGAGTATTGTGTTCTTTCACGCACATATATGTAATTTAACTATATTATCCATCCATCCTCCCCATTCTCTCCTTTCTCTGTGCTTCCTTCCATGGGTTTTCCCCCAATAGTTCCCCTTTCACAATCATGCTGCTTGTTTTTAAGATTACATGCTGCACATTAACAAAAACGTGATATTTGTCTTTCTGAGATTATCTTGCTTAGCTTATCTCATTTAATATAATGTTCTCCTGTATTCATTTCTTAACAAATGACATAATTTCATTTTTTCTTTATGGCTGAATAGTACTTGATTTTTACATATACCATGTTTTCTTTATCCAGTCATCATTTGTTAGAAACTTAGGCTAGTTCCATATCTTGGTTATTGTACATAGTACTGTTATAAGCATTGTATGCAAGTGTCTTCCTTATATGTTGGTTTACATTGTTTTGAGTAGTATATAGCAGGATAATACACAAATTCTATTTTTACTTTCTTGAAAAACCTCCATACCAATTTTTGTACTAGCTGGATTAATTTATATTCCTATCCACAGTGTATAAAGATTTCTTTTCTCCACACCCTCACTAGCATTTGTTGTTGCTTGTTTTCTTGATAATAACCATTATGAAAAGTATGAGATAGAATTTCAGTGCCACTTTGATTTGCATTTCCTTTATGACTAAGGATGCTGAATATTTCTTCTATTTATTACTCACTTGAAACTTTTAAGAACAATTTGAATGTTTGCACATTTTTATTTTAATTTTATTAGGGTGATGTAAAGAATGGTTAGTTATATAAGTCAGGTAATGAATACATTTCTTCCTTTCCTCCCTCCTTCTTTCCCTCCCTCGCTCTTTCTCCTTTCTCTCTTTCTCCCTCCCTTCCCCTCTCTTCCTTTCTCTCCCTTTCTTTCTTTCTTTCTTTTTCCCTCCCTCCCTCCTTCCCTCTCTCTCTCTCTCTTTCTCTCTTTCTTTCTTTCTTTCTTTCTTTCTTTCTTTCTGCTTAAACTCAGGACCTTTGTACTATCCTGAGCTTATTTTGCTCAAGGCTAGCACTCTGCCACTTGAGCCATAATGCCACTTCTGGCTTTTTCTGTTTATGTGGTACTGAGGAATAGAACACAGGGTTTAATGCATGCTAGGCAAGCATTCTACCACTAAGCCACATTCCCAGCCCCGAGTAAATTTTGTTTTGAACAGTGTCACCTCCTCCCTCATTTTCTCTCAGATTTTCCTCTCCCGAAGTTGTATAGTTCATTTCCAACATAGTATCTAGTGAGTATTTCTGCTGAATTGGTTCATCTTTTGTTTCCCTGTTTCTGTACTTTCCCTCCTCAGATCCAATAATGTATATACAAAAGGTACAGAAATAAACAATCAGTGACAAAAAGGAATAAACCAAAGGAACAAAAGAAGAAAAAAATAATCGTTACCATTTCTTGGAGTTCATTTTGATAAGCATAATTTTATATGGTCACATGCCCATAGCCATTGAGCCATGTGATCCTCTCCTAAGAGTATCCTCCTTTGTTCTGACTATATGAAAGTTTAGAGTGATGTTTAATTAATCATGTCCAAATGTAATTATTTGTCTTTTACTGTCCATTGGATTTAATTGTATATTTATGGATGTATTCTAGTTATTATAAATGAGAGAAACTGGAAGTGGTGCTGTGGCTCAAGGGGTAGAGCGCTTGCCTTGAGCTGAAGAGCGCAGGGACAGCACCTAAGCCCAGAGTTCAAGCCCCAGGACCCACCAAAAAAAAGAAAACAGTAGGAATTAACAAATGAGGGAAACTATGAGGCCTGTGTCTCTTTGGGTCTGGCTTACTTTGCTTAATATAATTTTTTCCTAGTCTTTCCATTTCCTTATGAATGGAACAGAGTAATTCTTTCTGAAGAAAAGTTTGCACATATATTAACTGGATTGTTTCTTATGCCTTTAACATTTTTTAACTTTTTATATTATGGATAGTAATCCTTTGTCTGTTGAAATAGCTTACAAAGATTTCTCCTGTGAGGTTTTGGTTTGTTTTTTTTTTGCCAGTGCTGAGGCAAAAAGTGAGGCAAAAGTGAGCAAAAGAACTTGAGGCCTGGGGACTGGTCCCTGAGCTGCTTTTGCTAAAATTGAACTCTCTACCACCTTTAGCCACAGCACCACTTTCGGCCTTTTCTGTTTATGTGGTATTGAGGAATGGAACTCAGGGCTTTCATGCATGCTAGGCAAGCACTCTACCACTAAGCCACATTCCCAGTCTGTGAGTTGTCTCTTGATTCTGGAAATTATTTCCTTCGATATGCAGAAGCTTTTTAGTTTGATTCAATGCTGTTTGTCAGTAATTGGAGTCCTATTTAGAAAGCAATTGTTTATGCCTTTATTGTTAAGTTTTTACCCTATGTTTCCCTGTATTAGATTTAATTTCAGTGTTAACATCTAGATCTTCCATCCATTTTGAATAGATTTTTATACAGGGTGAACAATAGGAATCTAACTTAATTTTTTTTTTTTGGTAGTGAGGCTTGAACTCAGGGCCTGAGCACTATCCCTGAGCTCTTTTGCTCAAGGCTAGCACTCTTCCACTTTGGGCTATAGCTCCACTTCTGGTTTTCTGGTGGTCAATTGGAGATAGGAGTTTCATGGACTTTACTCCTTGGGCTAGCTTTGAACTCAGATCTCAGCCTCATAAGTAAATAGAATTATAGGCACAAGACTAATTTAGTTCTTACATATGTGAATATTCAGTTTTTCTAACATCATTTGTTGAAGAGACTTTTATCCAACATATGTTTGAGGGACTTTGTGGAGGAGGGGGGTCCTGAACTCAGGGCCTGGGTGCAAACTGAGCATCTTTGTGTTTAAAGACAGCCTTCTTCCACTTGAGCCATAGTGCTACCTCTGGCTTTTGTTTTTGTTTTTTTTTGGTTGTGGGGCCTAAACTCTGGGCCTGGGCACTGTTCCTCAGCTCTTCAGCTCAATGCTAGTGCCCTACCACTTGAGCTTCAGTGCCACTTTTGGCTTTTTTCTGTGTATGTGGTGCTGAGGAATCGAACCCAGGTCCTCATACATGCGAGGCAAGCACTCGACCACTCAGCCACCTTCCCAACCCAGCTTTTTTAGAGTAATTTATTGGAGATAAGAGTCTCTTGGGAACTTTTGAACCCGGATCCTCAGATCTCAGCCTCTTGAGCAGCTAGGATTTCAGGCGTGAGCCTCTAGTGCCCAGCTCTAGGGACTTTTGACAAAAATCAGCTTGTTGTAGCATTGTGGCGTATTTCTGGATCTTCTGTACTACTGGTCTGCCTGTTCATTTTTTTGCTACTTTATGCTTGTTTTGTTTCTATGGCAGTGTAACATAATTTGAAGTTAGATATTATAATACCTTCAGCATTCTTCTTTTTGCTCAAGATTGCTTGGCTATTTGGAGATTTTTATGCTTCCATGTGTTGATATTTCTGTTTCTATGAAGAATGACATTGGGATTTTTGTTGGAAATTGCATTGAATCTGTAGATTGCTTTTCAATCCATAAACATGGAAAAACTTTCCATCTTCTAATGTCTTCTTCAGTTGCCTTCTTATGGTTTTAGTTTTCATTATAGAAGTCTTTTTATTTTTTATTTTTTTGGGGGTCCGGTCATGGGGCCTGAACTCTGGGCCTGGGCGTTGTCCCTCAGCTCTTCAGCTCAAGGCTAGTGCTCTACCACTTGAGCCACAGCACCACTTCCAGCTTTTTTCTTTTTGCTTATGTGGTGCTGAGGAATCGAACCCAGGGCCTCATGCATGCAAGGCAAGCGCTCTACCACTGAGCCACCTTCCCAGCCCCAAGAAGTCTTTTTAAATCCTTAGTTTATTCCTAAGTATTTTGTAGAGTACTATAAATGGGATAAATTTACTGATTTCTTTATCTTCCTGTTCATTGTTAGTATATAGAAGGTCTACTAGTTTTTTTTGTACATTGATTTTGTATCCTATTACTTTAACAAAAGCATTGATCAAATATAAATTTTTTTGTAGAGTCTTTGTAGTTCTTTAAAGATAATCTCAACTCTGACTTTTTTCCCCCTACTTATGTATCTTTTTTTTCTTCCTTGTATTGGTCTGGCTAGGAATTTCTGCACTGTCTTAGATTTGAAAGAGTGGACACTCTTTTCTCATTTATGATTTTAGAGGAAATGGTTTCAGTTTTTCCACATTTAGTACAGTGTTGGCTATAAGTTTGCCATCTATATTATATATTGTGACATATATATTATGTATATTATTTTGAGGTACATAACTTCTGTTCCTAGGTTCTTCAAGGCTTTTATCATGGTAACATTGAATTTTGTCAAAGACTTTTTCTGCATAAATTGATATGATTATGTAATTTTTTTTTTTGAGTCCAGTCGTGGGGCCTGAACTCTGGGCCTGGGCACTGTCCCTCAGCTCTTCAGCTCAAAGCGAGTGCTCTACCACTTGAGCCACAGTGCCACTTCCGGCTTTTTTTCTTTTTGGTTCTGTGGTGCTAAGGAATCGAACCCAGGGCCTCACGCATGCAAGGCAAGCGCCCTACCACTGAGCCACCTTCCCAGCCCCATGATTATGTAATTTTTGTCCTATATTTTGTTTGTGTTCTGTGTTACATTTATTGATTTGCTTCTGTTGAACCATCTTTGCATCCTTAGAATGACACCAAATTGATCATGATATAAAGTTGGGTTTTGCTTTTTTTTTTTTTTTGACACTCTGGGGGCTTGAACTCTAGGCCTGGGTGCTGTCTCTTAGCTTATTCACTCAAAACTAGCATTCTACCACTTGGCCACAGTTCTACTTCTGGCATTTTGCTGGTTAATTGGCGATGAGTGTCATGAACTTTTCTGCCCAGGCTAACTTTGAACAGTTATCCTCAGATCTCAGCCTCCTGAGTTTCTAGGATTACACATGTAAGCCACCAGCACCTGCATAATAGGAAATTTTTGTCTTATTAGGTTTATTTTAAAAATCCCTCATAGAATAACAAATCCTTTGTAGAAGTCTCTAATCAACAGTAGGTTAAGTGTTTATGAAAGTGTTTCTTTAAACTCAAAAACCAAAAATAAGGTTGTTCTCAGTCAAATAAATATACAGTTATATTTCAGTTATTAAAGAATGTAATTTTCATTTTAAGTACTATAGTTCAGTAGGATTTTTTTATATACACACACTTCATAATAAATCTACTTTGAATTTTTTCTTCCAGTCTGAAGATTACTATGACATGAGACGGCTATATACAATTTTGGGGTCTTCTCTATTTTATAAGGTAAGGTGAAGCTTGAAATATTTTTAAATTTTTGATTACTGTTTTGTTTTTTTTTGGGGTCCGGTTGTGGGACCTGGACTCTGGCCTGGGTGCTGTCCCTCAGCTCTTCAGCTCAAGGCTAGAGCTCTACCACTTGAGTCACAGCGCCACTTCCGGCTTTTTTCTTTTTGCTTATGTGGTGCTGGGGAATCGAACCCAGGGCCTCATGCATTGCAAGGCAAGCACTCTTACCACTGAGCCACCTTCCCAGCCCTTGATTACTGTTTACGTATATGTAAAGTTAAATTTTCTCATTTTATGCACAGAAAAATCCATGCGTCTCTTTTTTTGGAGGATGTAGGTACTCTAAGCTTAAGATCTTAAAATAATCCACCTACACATTTATAAACAAATAAATACTTATGGTTTTATTGTTTTTTGTAGCATTGGTAATTGTGTAAATGAGAAACAATATTCAAACACACCTAGTATGTGAGAGCTAAGAACAGTACTTTCTTTTTTTTCTTTTTTCTTTTCTTTTTTTTTTTTTTTGGTTGTGGGGCCTGAGCTCTGGGCCTGGGTGGTATCCCTGAGCTCTTCAGCCCAAGTCTAGCTCTCTACCACTTGAGCCACAACGCCACTTCCAATTTTCTGGTTAATTGGAGATAAGAGTCTCACAGACTTTCCTGCCTAGGCTGGCTTTGAATTGCAATCCTCAGAGCTCGGCCTCCTGAGTAGCTAGGATTATAGGCTTGAGCTAACCTGCACCCAGCAATACTTTCTCAATTACTTTTTCCAGTAATATATATTTTTATCCTATCGTAGCATGAATTTTTCACGTAAATCTTGTAACATAAACTAGTGTACTTGAATGTACACCAACTTAGACATCAAGTGAATTTCAGTACTTTGACTTAAGAAATATTTTTAAACTCAAAATATGCCATTAACAAAGAATTAAACAAGCCAAGTGCTGATGGCTCACAATTATAATCCCACTACTCAATAGGCTGAAATCTGAGAATCGTGATTCAAAGCCAGCTTGTGTAGAAAAGTTCATGAGACTTTTATCTCCAATTAGCCAATAAAGCCCTATAACTAGAGTTGTGTCTTAAGTGATACAGTAAAACTTCAGCAGAAAAGCCGACTAAGAACAAGAGGCCTTTGTACTGGCATGCTCACATGTGCATATACACATATACAAATAGAATCAAACAATACAGAAGGATAAAAAGGATCTTCCCACCTTAATGGCAACTTCTCCACTTTGCCTTTTCTGAATTCAGGGTTTTGTTTTTTAATTTGGTAAACATTCAGGGTACTACTACACAGAAGTGATCTTGCTTATGCTAAAGTCTATTTTTTGGGTACCCTAAGTTATTATTCAATATCTAATTTGACCTCAAAAAAGAATTCACCTCTGGCTGGGAAGGTGGCTCAGTGGTAGAGTACTTGCCTCACATGCCTGAGGCCCTGGGTTCGATTCCTCAGCACCACAAAAGCAGAAAAAGCCAGAATTGGCGCCATGGCTCAAGTGGTAGAATGCTAGCCTTGAGCTGAAGAGCTGAAGGGACAGCACCCAGGCCCAGAGTTTAGGCCCCATGACCAGCAAAAAAAAATGGCACTTTTGCTACATCTTAATTTTTTATGTTTGAAACTAGATTATTTTAAGACAACGAAAATGTTTTTACAAAACTTCAAAATATAGAATTGTTGTTTTGTATCATTTTGATTTGCTCTTTCCATGGTAAAATTCCAGGGTTATTTGATATGCAGTCATTTGCCTAAGGATGATCTTATTGATATTTCTATCTACTGTCGCCACTATTATCTACTGCCTTTAGCAGCAAGACAAAGAATAGGTCAGTTGATAATATGGAAAGAAGTATTTCCTCGACATCACCTCCAACATGCCACAGACTCAAATTTTGAAGTCTTTCAAGAACCTGAAGGGAGATATTTTTTACTAATTGTTGGACTGGTAAGTTTATCTGGACTTCTTTCTTTAAAGTTTTTTTTAAAGATCTATTTACTATCTAAGTAAAAGAATACGGGTATGACCTGGTGGCTCACGCCTGAAATCCTGGCTACTCAAGAGGCTGAGATCTGAGGATCAAAGTTCAAAGCCAGCCTGGGCAGGAAAGTCTGTGAGACTCTTATCTCAAATAAACCATTAGAAAACCGGAAGTGGTGCTGTAGCTCAAGCGGTAGAGTGCTGCCTTGAGCTGAAGAGTGCAGGGACAGCACAGAGTTCAAGCCCCACGAACGACCAAAAAAAAAAAAAAAAAATATATATATATATATATATATGGGTATGTCAGATACTAGTATTCAAGAACATGTTCTGCTCTCTTTTTCCTTCACATTCATGAAGAAATATTAATAAACTCTGGGATAAGATTTTAGCAAAGTCTGAAGATCTGTTGTCCCCCTTCCTATAGTGGTTTTATCCTTACTTGTTTTGTGAAATAGAACAAGACATGAAAAAAACACAGAATCAAGGTGAGTGTATTGTTGCACACTTAAAGTTCCAGCACTAAAGCTCTGGAGGATCATGAGTTTGAGGCCAATCTGAGCTACCATAAGAAGAACCAGTTTCAAAAACAGACAAACTGCCAGAATGTAGAGTCAGAAATAGAGTTACTATGTAATTGTAAATCCAAGGACTTCTAATAATTGAGACTCTTTGAAAGTTGTCTTAGGAAATTTCATGTGCAAGAGAAGTGGCTGATAGTCTATTAAAGTAAGGTAACATTGTTTTTACTTGGTATTAGCCAAGTACCATTGGCTCACACTTGCAGTCATAGCAACTTAGAAGGCAGAGATCCAAGCCTGGCGCCAGTGGCTTATGCCTATAATCCTAGCTACTCAGGAGGCTGAGATCTGAGGATTGTAGTTCAAAGCCAGGCCAGGCAGGAAACTCCATGAAACTCTAATCTCCAATAAACCACAGAAAACCAGAAGTGGCGCTGTGGCTCGAGTGGTAGAGTGCTAGTCTTGAGCCGAAGAGCTCTGAGGGACAGCCCTCAGGCCCAGAGTTCAAGCCCCATGACCGACAAAAAAAAAAAAAAAGAAGGCAGAGACCTGAGGATCTCTATATGAGCCAGCTGGGGCAGACAAATCCAAGAGGCTCTATCTGCAGTTAACCAGCAAAGAGCCAGAAATGGAGGTGTGACTCAGTTGAGTACCAGCCGTGAGTGCGAAAGCTAAGTAAGAGCAAGTTACAAAGCAGCAGTAGCTTTGATAATCAAGGAGAAATTTGTAATAATCACACAATTATGCTACTGTATGTCTTTAATATGAACCTTTTTTTTTTAAATTTTGTGCCAGTCCTGTGGTTTGAACTCGGGGCTGGGCCGTTTTTTTTTTCTTGTCGGTTGTGGGGCCTGAACTTTGGGTTTGGGCATTGTCCCTGTGCTCTTCAGCTCAAGGCAAGCGCTCTACCACTTGAGCCACAGCGCCACTTCCTAAGGCCTGAACTTTTTTGATCAAGGCTAGCACTCTATTACTTGAGCCAAATTTCTACTTCCAGCTTTTTGGTGGTTAATTGTAGATGAGAGTCTCATGGACTTTCTTACCCAGGCTGGCTTTGAGTTACAGTTCTCAGAGCTGGATCTCCTGAGTAGCTTGGATTACAGGCTTGGGCCACTGGCACCCGGCTCAGTATTTATGAATATATTATGTGTAAATATTTTGTGGTAACTAAACTTATACTGATTTTCTTTCATAGAAACATTATATGTTATGTGTACTATTAGAAGCTGGAGGCTGCTCATCCAAAGCTAATGGAAATCCTGGTCCAGACTGTATATATATAGATCAAGCCAAAACAACTCTTCAACAGCTGGAAGGAGTAGATTCTTATATAAATGAACAGCTTATATCTTCTTCAAACACCTGTTTGTCTTGTGCTGACTGGTTCCTTGCTGGACCACATGAAAAAGTAGATAGTTTGACTACTTCTCCTGTCCTCAGTAGGCTGCAAAGTACTTCTAAAACAGCAGCTTCTCCAACGTGCAGAAGAACACTTTTTGGTGACTCTTCCTTAAAGACACGGAAGCCCAGTCCTTCCCGAAGCAGTGGAGGATCTGACCATGGTTGTGAAGGTGAAGAAGGTGTTAGTACAAATCTGCATACTACACCAGATGTGGTATGGAAGCAAAGAGAATCTCAGGGCTCTGGTGGTTCAGAAGAAAGTGGAGCCTTGCTTAAGGTGAAGTATGTTCATTCAAGTATATACATTGTAGAAATTAATGTCAAGAGAACTTTTAAAATTGTTCCTCATTTGACATGGTGGTAGTTTTAGTTATTTGAAAAACCAAAGATTTAGAGGGGGAAAAAAGAGGAAGTGATGTCAATAAGACAGCAGCCTCTTGCCATTCCAGGTATTTAATTAACAGTGCTTCTAGGTAGAAAAACTCTAATCTTGTTGTCCAGTTCCATTGATACTCTGTTTTCAAGCTGAAACCATAGCCTCGTACATGTGGACATTTGCAGGGACACCTCAGATTAAGTAGCCAGTGGAATGTTCAGTAGAAGCTGGGTGCCTGGTAGAAAATGTCTATAATCCTACCTATTCAGGATGGTGAGATCAGTAGAAATGGAAAAGAGATAAGAACAGAAAGAGAGTCTTTGTTATAGTTAAGTATTTTTGTCTGCACTTGTAAAGGTTTCAGAAATTCAAAATGTGAATCTTAAGAAAAATGCCCATTTTTCAGATTATCACTTAATTTTTGTTTCTATGAAAATCAATAACATGTCCAAGTCATTATCCAAACCATCACCTTTGGAGGTTTTATACTTATTTTAGTGATATTGTTGTCTTTCAGAAGATTTCTGAAACTTGACATCTAGGTGGATGGAGGTCATGCCTGACAAGATATTCTGAAAGAATGTGAGAAGGAGCACCAAAGAATATGAGACTCTTGAGTGTCATGAAATAAAGAAACATCAACTCAGTCTCTTAATTCAAAAATAGAGGACACTTTTACAGTGCTAAATATAATGTATTTAACAGTGATCATACTAGTTATGTTTAATACCTCTCTCCATGAAATTGGTAAAATATAGTTTAAGAAGACTTTGTAGCTTTAAGAACAAAACTTGAGCCAGGCGCTGGTCAGAAATCCTAGCTACTCAGGAGGATAAGGTCTGAGAATCTTGGTTCAAAGCAAACCTGGAAAGGAAGGTCCATGAGACTCTTATTTCCAGTAAAACACTCAGAAAAAACCAGAAGTGGTGCTATGGCGCAAGTGGTAGAGTGCTATCCTTGAGCATAGAGAGAGGCTCAGGGACAGAGCCCAGGCCCTGAGTTCAAGCCCCAGGACTGACAAAAACAAACCAACCAAAATAACAAAACCTGAATAGCTCCCAAGAGAAACTGAATTAACCTTTAAGTTCAGCAGTTCAACAAATGTTAATTGGAACCTACTAAGGGTGAAAGGCTGTGCTGTACAAAGATAACGAGTAAGACAGATCATGATTTTGAGGCATTTAGGCTATAGGGGGGAAAGTAAGCATACCTACAAATTTCGTAATGACTAATGGCTCTGACAGGAAGCTTTCAGGGAATACCCTCCTGCTCTCCATAACATGGCCTTCGGATTCTTGTTACCAAAGGATAAATCAAGAGGTAAAGTTACCCTACAGATGCTTAAAGGAAGCATCACAAAATAGTAATTACTTCTCTTAGGTTTTTCTCTGTTTTTTTTTTTTTATTGTAAAAATAGGATACAGAATGGTTATAGTTACATGAGTAAGGTAATGAGTACATTTCCTATCAAGTGTTGTTACCTCCTTCTTTGTTTATCCCCTACCATCCCTTCCCTCCCTACCTCCCCAACTCCTCCCTCCAATTTTTTATTTCCTAATCATTTCTGCTTTTAGATTCTGGGGCTGAGAGGGTGGTTCAGTGGTAGAGTGCTTGCCTTGCATGCATGAGGCTCTGGGTTCGATTCCTCAGCACCATATAATCAGAAAAAGCCAGAAGTGGCACTGTGGCTCAAGTGGTAGAGCGCCAGCCTTGATCTGGGACAGCGCCCAGGCCCACAGCTCAGGTCCTATGACTGACAAAAACAAAATAAAGAGTTCTAGATATAAGATTCTATCTTAGATATAAACTGATTTACTTTTAAAACTATTTTTCAGATCACTAAAAAGAAGTCTACTTTCCCAAATCCATTTCATTTGGGAAACTTGAAAAAGGACCTTTCAGAAAAAGAATTGGAAATATATAGTACAATGAAGTAAGAAACCTTCTGATACTGGGGGTTTGGGGCGTTTTTTTTTTTTTTTTTGGTTCCAGTCCTGGGACTTGAACCTAGAGCATGGTCCCTATCCACAGCTTCACCTCTGGCTTTTTTGGGAGTTCATTGGAGATAAGAGTCTCATAGACTTCTCCTGCCTGAACTGGCTTTGAACCTCAGCCGCCTGAATAGCTTGGATTTAAGTTGTGAGTCCCTGGCACCTGGCTCTCTAATACTTTTTCACTTAAATTTATTTGTCTTTGAGGAAGTTTTACTATAAGTACAATTTCAGAGCATGTTGTGTTTACTCAACAAGTATAATTAAGATAGATATTACATAGTTGAGGTGATATGATATTTCTGTTAATATTTCATTACACATTTTAAGTAAAATGAACATTCAGGGGCTGGGAAGGTGGCTCAGTGGTCGAGTGCTTGCCTTGCATGCATGAGGCCCTGGGTTCAATTCCTCAGCACCACATAAGCAGAAAAAGCCAGAAGTGGTGCCATAGCTCAAGTGGTAGAGTGCTAGCCTTGAGCTGAATAGCTGAGGGACAGCGCCCAGACCCAGAGTACAAGCCACATGACTGACCAAAAAAAAAAAAAAAGAACATTCATATTATAAGAGAGTAAAACAACCCATTATTTCTCTTTCACAGGTAAGATTTATATATTATATAGATATAATCTATCTGTATCTACTTTTTTTTTTTACTTTAGACTCTGGCAAATGCCCAGTTTATCCCTTTGCATAGATTCATTCCCAGTGCTTGAAAAATATAGCTGCTAATGGCTCAAAGTTGAGTGCCTCCTGAGAGTAATACACTTCTAATGACTACTTGCTCTGTTTTAGTTCTATCACCCACCTACAGCTATAATTCTCTGGACATTGGCCCACTAAACTTACTCAGTCTGGGTTCCAAGAACTGGTTCCTATAAGAACTAGGTAACAACTGGGTGCCGGTGGCTCACGCCTGTAATCCTAGCTACTCAGGAGGCTGAGATCTGAGGATCACGGTTCAAAGCCAGCCCAGGTAGAAAAGTCTGTGAGACTCCTATCTCCAATAAACCACTAGAAAACAGGAAGTGGTGCTGTGGCTCAAGCAGTAGAATGCTTGCCCTTGAGCTGACGAGTGCAGGGACAGCGCCCAGGCCCAGAGTTCAACCCCACAACTCACAAAAAAAAAACAAAAACAGGTAACAGCTTGAAGTTACACCTCTAAGGTGAAAGGAACTGAGGATGGACTGTTTGATTACTTAAACTGTGTACAGTCATTGCAATATGCAATGTTAGTCACCTCTTGTACAGTCGTGATTGACAGTTGTGTCTGTTTTGCCTGATACTTAATTTTGATAGTCATATATAAAAATCACATTTTTGCTTAAGCAACCAGATATGTGAAAGTAGAATTCTTTCACAACCTTACAACACACAAACATGAGTGCATAACTATCACCTTTTTTAATCACGGAAACATTTGTTTAAGAAGTTAAAATCAGTAAGTTACTAAATTACCAGAATTTTTTTTTTTTCCTGAGAGGGTCTACAGAATTAAAAATTTTGGTTTTAATGCTTCCACATATGAATGGTTAGTTTTTAAAAAATAATCATATTTGTTTTTAAATCTGAATCATGACCTTTATGGAACCTTAAAACAACTTTACAAAATGTTGATATCCTCCAGTATTTTGTTCCCTCCATAGCATATTTCTAATTACATTGCTTTGGCACCATCTCTAGTAAAGAGATTAGACAGATTCACATGTGATGGAAGTCATAGACTCTTACTTAAAAAGATGCCAGAGATCCTTTTTCTTCCCTCATTATTGAATGAGAAGGTGTTCTATGCAGTATACTATAGCTCATTTTAAAAGCATGTATTATCCTCATATGTACATTTTTAGCAAATAAAATATATATTATATAGTAAAAACACTTATGTATATGTGTGTATGTAGCATATATAATTTCATTGGTTAAGAAACTACTGTCCATTAGTATTGCAGTCTTTCTTGAGTCCATCAGCCATTTCCTGTGGATACTACCTTGGTTCAAACTCCCGTTTTTCCCTTCCAGCTTTTAGAAATGAATCTAACTTTATCTGCTTTTTTGTATAAATCTTTTGTCTATTGTTGGATAATTGATTGGTTGGTGACTTTTTTTAACTTTCAGTTAATAAGCACTGATTTTGAAGAGCTAAACTTCTTCATTGTGTTTTATTTTTGAGGAAAAATATATAGATAACAAAAATATTGATCTTTGCTATCCTTCAAGTGTATCTTATTAGCAGTTTGGGGTTCTTTTGATATAATTTTGTTATTGTTGTTAGGGTGTTATACAGAGGGGCTCATGTCATGAGTCAGGCTATGAGTCTATTTCTTCTTATAGACAGAGCTTCCCCGTTCCTTAGCTTTCCTCTAGTTTCCCCCTCCCATCCCTGCCCACAACAGTTTGGGTTTTTTTTTTAAGAAATAATTTCTATTCTTTGTCTGTATTTGAATTTGAAGACCTCTGACTTAGAATGATCCTTTTTGAATAAATATAATTTTCCTTATCTTGATTATTTTTTTAAGATATCAGCCATCAGTTGTTAGTCAACTGCCCTCTAAAAATTTTGTAGATGATTTCCTTCCCTCTCTCTCCCTAAATTTGGTGATAACAAATTTATTCAGATCATGCTGTTCAGACAGATTAACAAATTTATCAGGGAGTTAGCATAAATGATGGGTGAAGGAACTAGGGCAATAGCTTAAATATGTCTTTTCTTTGGTTGTGTGCTTAATTTTTGTGGTTTTTTTTTTGTTGTTTTGTCGGTCATGGGGTTTGAACTCTGGGCCTGGGTGCTTTTCCTCAGCTCTTCAGCTCAAGGCTAGTGTTCTACCACTCGAGCCACAGAGCCACTTCCGGTTTTCTGAGTTTACTGGAGATAAGGGTCTCATGGACTTTTCCTCCCCAAGCTGGCTTTGAACTGTGACCCTCAGATCTCAGCTCCTGAGTAGATAGGATTACAGGCATGAGCCACAGGTGCCCGGCTTTGTGCTTAATTTTTATTTTTTAATTTTCACTTATTTATTTTTTTTGGTCTGGTCGTGGGGCCTGAACTGTGGGCCTGAGCGCTGTCACTTAGCTCTTCAGCTTAAGGCTAGCGCTCTACCACTTGAGCCACAGCGCCACTTCCGGCTTTTTTCTTTTTGCTTATGTGGTGCTGAGGAATTGAACCCAGGGCCTCAGGCATTCAAGGCAAGCGCTCTACCACTGAGCCACCTTCCCAGCCCCTACTTTATTTTTATGTTTTTGTCAATCATAGGACTTGAACTCTGGGCCTGGGTGCTGTCCCTCAGCTCTTCAACTTAAGTCTAGTGCTTTACTACTTGAGATACAGCACCACTTCCGGTTTTCTGGTGGTTTATTGGAGATCAGAGTCTCACTGACTTTTCTGCCTGGGCTGGCTTTGAACCGTGATCCTCAGATCTCAGCCTGCTGAGTAACTAGGATGACAGGTGTGAGCGCCCAGCGACCCCAGCTTATGTGCTTAATCAAGTGAACTAGCGGTTGGTTCACTTAACATTATTAGGATGGACACCTGAATGTTCTGGGGGTGGGGGGAGGGGGGGGCCGTTGCGGTCCATAACACAAGGACTACTAATCAAAACTCAGCAGGGGAGAACAAAAGGAAGTTACTGGAAGAGCAAACTCAAAAGGCAGCTAAGGTCTGCTGCTACTGGCTATGAGGTTTCAATCCAGTTAATACAAGCTCGTTGAACATTAGTTTCTTTGTGGTTAAAATGAGGATAATAATTAATATCCTAACACACTTGCCCTGACACACAGAAAACAATCAGTAAATAGTAACGACTGCATTATTGCTTGTCCTTGCCATTACTGTGCTTCACCTCTTTTCTCAACTGGTAGAAATTAGTTCTGTTTACAGCTTCTGCTGATCTGAGATTATGGAGAGGAAAATATAGGGAAGAAAAAAAGTGAGAAAACATTGGAGAAAAGAAAGATTATAATGATGAGATGTAATAGGATAATATCACTTATTACCATAGTATAATAGAATATTAACCCAACTTTAAAACTGCTAATAATGATTGCATTTCTTCAGAATTACTAATTTTTACTGGCATGGTAAAAGACTTAACTGCTGCTGACTTAAATGTGTCTACTTTGCTGGAAGATATTTTTATATATCCTCACCCCAAACTGATACCTTCCTTCTGGCTTGAAGAAGTCTGGGGCAGACAGGAGCCGAGTAGTTCATTACCAGCTATAGAAAGAGAGGCTTGACCAATTTGGGTTGTTCAGTGAAGGGACAGTTGTGAGTTGCAAATGAACTAGTGCTCATCAGCTTAACAAGCAGATTCCTTTTGGAGAATTACTAATATTCCTACTATATACTTTAGTTGTAGATGAAGAAGGAATTAAATGTTCGGCCTATGTTCCCCTTCCTAATTGTACTACTCAAGTTCGCTTGTAAATTCAAAGTGAAACAATATTTTTACTTACTTAAATTTTTCCTCTTTCTCTTTCTCCTCTTGTCTCTTCTTCTCTCTCTCCTTACAAGACTGACATCTGGGCCTGAGAATACTCTTTTCCACTACCTTGCCTTGGAAACAGTGCAAGGAATTTTCATCACTCCCACCCATGAGGAAGTAGCTCAGCTAAGCGGCTCTGTCCACCCTCAGCTAATAAAGAATTTTCATCACTGTTGTCTCTCTATCCGTGCAGTTTTTCAACAGACACTGGTGAAAGAGGTAAACACAGTTCTATAAATAGAGTTCTCTGTGATATAATTTCTAATTTGTAAACATTATCTCTACTCTCTAGTCAATATATGCAGCAATGTTTTCATGTAGTTAAGGTGTTTTTAACAGCCAGTTTTTAAAAGATTATGCACATATTACTTAACCTTAAATGTTCATTTATTATATAATACTGTGTTAGATGTCCTAGGTTAATATTTCAGGAAATGGTAGATGTGTTTTATAGCAAAAGTAGAATGTAATGTAATACAATTTCGTAATTTATATTTGTAATACAATTAACATCTTCTATTTGATATTTGTTACTCAAACACAACCATTATTTGGTCAGAAGGCTTACCAATTAGTTCCTAAAATAAGGCTGATAATCTTTTTATGTTTTCAGCCAACAATATAAATTGTTTTGGAATATAATGTGGTCTTATAGTTAAGCCATAGACACACTACTACTGAAAATGTTTTAGCAATTTGTTGACCGTTTGCTTCTCAACCTGGGTAAGGACTAGTACTGTACATAATTAAAATATCAGATTGCTTTGATACAGGGAAAAATGGGCGTTGATTTCTAATAACATATAAACATGTAGAGATTTACTTATAACTAGTCAAATATTCAGCCAGTAAAAGCTCTCTGAAGATAGTTGCATTTTGTACACCAATATGTATATGTAAGTATGGCAAATTTAAAAGTAGAACTTTGGTTATGAGGTGATGGGTCATGTCTGTAATCCTAGCTGCTCAGGAGACTGAGCTCTCAGGATCATGGTCAAAGTCAGCCTGAGCAGGAAAGCCCACGAAACACTTATCTTTAATTAATTACCAAAAATTCCAGAAATGGAGCTAGAGCTGTGGCTAGTGTGCTAGTCTTGAGCAAAAAAAAAAACAAAAACAAAACAAAACTCTGGGAGAGTTGAACTCAGACCCTGAGTTCAAACAGTAGGACTGGCACAAAAACAAAACAAAACAAAAAAACACTGAAGAGATGATGATCACTGCTTTAAAAAGGTCCCTCAGAACATGTCCAGTAATTCTTGAACAGACATGAGTGATGCAAGGGATGGAACACTGTGGCTGTCTAGATGTATGGTTTGGGAAAGGCCAGGGTATAGTTACAGGGATGGGAGAAGCTGGGGTAAGAAATCACTGGAATAGCCTGAAAAGAGTGGGAAGTGGTAAGATCTGGAAGGTATGAGAGCCAGATCAAACATGCCTCATCTGCTGTGGAAGGACTTTGTGCTTTGTTCTAGAAGAGAATGGTTTTGAGCAGAGGAAGAAGGTACTCTTTAGTTTTTAAACATAATCCCTGGGGCTGCTTTGGAAATTAGGCTGTAGAGAAAGGGAGCAGGGCCAGTGAGGAGACTACTATTAGAATTCTCAAAGCAAGAATGACAGTTGCTTCTGGATTCTGGATGTATTTTGTATGGTAAAACAAAAGAATTTGTTGATGGATAAGAGAAAAGAATTAAGAATCACTGTTGTCTTTTGGGCCTGAGCCTTATAAAAATATCTATATTCTGCATAAGTTATTGGTTTGCAAATGAATAAGAAATTTAGAAAGTATGTACATCAAAGGAATGCTTTAAATATATTTTAGGTTTGGTATAGAATATTTCATCCACTTATTACTGAATAAGCCCCTAACTCTCTATATAAACACCAATGTGCTAAAAATATACAAAGACATATAGTGTCTTGTCTCTGCCCTGGAATAAAAGGTTATAATCTTCTTTCTTTCACAAGGAAGACAGACTTATAAACTGCTAATATAATACAAAGCAATTACAACAAAATGGATCATTGAACAAAGTGTACCTTAAGATATACTTTGCTGATGAAGTCCCCTTTAGGAAATAGTAATTACGTATTGAGGAGGAGTAGAAAAGTTCTTGAAGGTAAGGGGAAGAATAGCACTGTAGAGTCTTAAGTGTTAGGGTCAGGAGTTCAAATCTATGTTACATATGATCACCAGTTATACTAATAATGTCTATTAATTTATAGAAAAAGAAGGCACTAAACGGTGAAGATCATTCACATTCTACAGATTCTACAGTATCTTCTCTTAGCCCTGTGAAAGAATATGGTGTGTTGTTTGAATGCTCTCCTGAAAATTGGACTGATCCGAAAAAAACACCACCAGTTATGACTTACTGGGTAGTAGGGTAAGTGAGAAAAGAGTTTGAAAGTAAACTAAATTGTTACAAAATTAAAAAAAAAAAAAGTAGTAAAGCAGACTAATGTTTTAAAATACAGGGATTTATTAATCCCAGCCAGGGTATTTAAATACTATATTTGAGTTTTTATTTACTAATATCACCATTAAATTCCTCCCCAATCATTTATTACAAAAATTGGCTATTGAGTTATCTGGGAAAGTCATTAAAAGAATAATGCCCTATTTTTCCTCCCCTTTCTTACTTCACTACTTCTCTTCTTTCATGTCTCTTTTATTTCTGTCTTTCTACTCCTTTACACACATAAGATACAACTCAGTCCAGGCCACCTCTGTTTCACTGTCTCATCACTCTTCTCGCTTCAGTGTACTCACATTAGCACCAATCAAATCTTGTTACTGCTATTCCTTCTGCATGGATGTTGTCCCTTAACCTTTTGCACATCTGGTTCCTTGATATTCAAACCAGGACTAACAGATGATCTCCTCACTTAGGATCTATCATCTCTTTTCCATCATTGAAGAGTTACCTGTAGTTCTCTGTATTGCCTCTTTGGTATTTTTCTTGCTTGATTCTTGTCTTTCTACATCACCAAAATGTCAGCACTGTGAGATAAGGAATTGTCTTGTGCACAGTTGGTGTCTACAACAGCACCTGGCACATACCAGTTGCTTCATAATCATGATGGTTTAGTAATGGAGGTAGCCTAGGCAAAATGTGGTGGTGGATGGAAAGATGGGTGGTATATCAAATATGAAAATGAAGATATGGTCATTATTTCCAAGAATATTCTATTTTACAGAATATGAAATATGCTTAAATAGCTATATATTTATAAGTATTATATAGGCATTTACATATGTATATATGTAAATATCCAGAAAATACTACTAAATGCTATAGGAGTCTTGAGGAGGGGGGTGAAATCTAAGCACAGATTAAAATCAAAAGTTTAGAGGTGCCCGGCCAGGAACCTATTTTTAAAAAGCTCCCTTGTAATTGAATTGAGTATGTAACCCACTAGAGTTGAGAACATCAACCTAAATTTAACTCTGTAGTCTAAATAGAATTGGGCTTTTATAAAATTAAGTCAATCTATGTAATGGTGGAAAGAAAGGAAAAACTAGAGATGAAGAGTTAAGTTACATGCATGTTTATATAGATGTGTAGTATAACTTTACATTAGAACAACTGGGATGGAAAGAGTCAAAAAGTGTTGAATTATAATGCAGAACCACAAAGAAGAGAACTTTGAAAAACATCAGACAGAACTACTCCCTTATTTGAAATGTTCCATTTATATACAGTAGGATTCAGTAATTTTTTTCTTTTCTTTTCAAATTGTGAGTTGTTTTTTTTTTTTTTTTTGGGTCCGGTCGTGGGGCCTGAACTCTGGGCCTGGGCACTGTCCCTCAGCTCTTCAGCTCAAGGCGAGTGCTCTACCACTTGAGCCACAGTGCCACTTCCAGCCTTTTTTTTTTTTTTTCTGCTTATGTGGTGCTGAAGAATCGAACCCAGGGCCTCATGTATGCAAGGCAAGTGCTCTACCACTGAGCCACCTTCCCAGCCCTAATTTTTTTCTCTTTAGATAGGTCCTTCTGTGTAGCATTGAGATCTTCCTGCCTCACCCTCCCAAGTGCTGTATCACTGTACTACCACTACCACCCTACCTTACTAAGAAAATCAAACAGAATTTAAATATTAATCCTAATCCAGGGCTATCTGAAAAAAAGGCCCTACTAAATGTTTTAATAATAATTAAACTTGTGAAAGTAAGTAGCAATAAAATGTTTACTAAATATTGTGATTAAAATGATGCTGATGCTATTGGCTGCTGTAATAATGACTGGATTTAATATTTTAAAATGGAGTACGACACTGTTATAAAATAGTATATGTGTGTGCACACGCGTGTGCGTGCTGTGTGCGCATGCGTGGGTGTGTACTGCTATTAGCTTAAACTGAGAACATGAGTGCTTTCCCTTAGCTGTTTTGCTCAAGACTGGCACTCTACCACTTGAGGCACACCATGGTTTGTTTTTCTGTGTGGTTAATTTGAGATAGAAGTCTCAAACACTGTCCTGTCCCCACTGGCTTCAAACCACAGTCCTCAAATCTCAGCCTCCGAAATAGCTATGATTCAGGCCTGAGCCATGGATGCCCAGCTAAAATAGGGTTTTTATACTTCAGAACAACAAAATTAATGTAAGACATGTATTGTTTTATTTAGAAATATAGCTGTAGCCTCCCCATTGTAGACTTACATTAGTTTTATAATTTTGAAACAAAAAGAAATCTGAAGTAGGGAGATTTGTTTTGTCATTTTAATTTCTGAAATATGTGTATTCTTTTCTTCTGCAGGAGACTCTTTCTTCATCCAAAACCTCAGGAACTTTATGTCTGCTTTCATGACTCAGTCACAGAAATTGCCATTGAAATGGCTTTTAAATTGTTCTTTGGCTTAACTTTGTAGTTCTGACAGTGCTGAAAGATCAAATTCAACATGTAGCAATAAGGTTTAGCTTCTTTTCACTTTCCATAATTGAATGTAATAAGTATTGAAATGAAATGGTTTGTATTTAGGCATCAAACTTATGTAGGACTAAAGGACTTCAGAGAAGTCTTTCAAAATATGAACAAGGGATTAATTTACTGACATGTTGGTATATAATGTTAATTTACTCACTAATTTGAAATAATATGAAGTGTTTTCTATTAAATTAATGTTGGACTTGTTTATTTTGAAGAAAGACCTAACACTTTTTTTTTCTTTTGTCGGTCATGGGGCTTGAACTCTGGGCTTGGGTGCTGTCCCCGTGCTCTTCAGCTCAAGGTGAGCACTCTACCACTTGAGCCACAGCGCCACTTCCCATTTTTTAGTGATTTATTGGATATAAGAGTCTCACAGACTTTCCTGCCTGGGCTGGCTTTGAACCGTGATCCTCAGATCTCAGCCTCCTGAGTAGCTAGGATTACAGGCGTAAGCCACCAGTGCCCGGCTTGACCTCTAACACATTTTTAAATTAATATTAATACCTAGTTAGAGGCTGGGAAGGTGGCTTCCCCATCTCCTCCACAAGTTATACTGACATCAAATATAGTGAAAGCAGGGGTTATACTGTGGGGGAGGGACATACAAAGCAACAAAGAGATAATCTTATAAATGTGTTAGAAACACATGCATGAAAGAAAAAAACATTAAAATACACATCTAAGGGTTCATTTTCCTGACATCACATTATCTGACCTTTTCCGCTTGACTCATACATATACTAGATATTACAAATAAGGGAAACCATGGGACCTACGTTTTTTTGGGCCTGGCTTACTTCACTTAATATAATTGTTTCCAAGTTTTTCCATTTCCTAACAAATGGGGCAATGTCATTCTTTCTGATGGAGGCATAGAATTCCATTGTGTATATATACCACATTTTCTTGATCCATTCATCTACTGAGGGGCATCTGGGTTGGTTCCATATCTTAGCTATGGTAAATAATGCTGCAATAAACATAGTTGTGCTGGTAGCTTTAGTGTGGTCTTGTTTGTAAACATTTGGGTAAATGCCCAAAAGTGGGATTGCTGGGTCATAGGGGAGTTCTATGTGAAGTCTCTTGAGGAACCTCCATACTGCTTTCCAAAGTGGTTGAACAAGTTTACATTCCCACCAACAATGAAGTAAGGTTCCTTTCTGTCCACATCCCCTCCAGCATCTGTTGTTGTTAGAGTTCTTGATTTTTGCCGTTCTAACTGGAGTGAGGTGATATCTCAATGTTGTTTTGATTTGCATTTCTTTTATGGCTAGGGATGTTGAACATTTCTTCATGTGTCTATTGGCCATCCTTCTTTCTTCTTCAGAGAAGCTTCTCTTTAAGTCTTTCGCCCACTTACTTATTGGGCAGTTGTTTCTTTGAGGGTTTGTTGTTGGGTGGTTTAATTTTTTGAGTTCCAAGTATATTTTAGATATGAGACCCTTGTCCGTTGTATGGCTAGTAAAGATCTTCTCCCAATCTGTGGGCTTTCTATTGATCTTGCTAGCTATGTCATTTGCCCTGCAGAAGCTCTGCAACCTTATACAATCCCATTTGTCCAACCTTTCTTTGATTTGTTGTGTTTCCGGGTCTCTATTCAGAAAATTTCGGCCTGAGCCAAGGAGACCCAGGGTTTCTCCTATTCCATCCTGTAATGTTTTCAGAGTGTCTGCTTTGAGTTCAAGGTCTTTGATCCATTTGGAGTTGATTCTGGTGCAGGGTGATATATAAGGATCTAGCTTAAGTTTTCTACATGTAGTTAACCAATTTTGCCAGCACCATTTACTGAAGAGGTTGTCTTTCTTCCATTCTATTGTTTTAGCTCCCTTATCGAAGATTAGATGGCTATAGGTCTGTAGGTTCATTTCTGGGTTTTCAATTCTATTCCATTGGTCCTGAGGTCTGTTCTTATGCCAATACCAAGCTGTTTTGATTACTATGGCTTTATAGTAGAGTTTGAAGTTTGGTATTGATATTCCTCCAGCAGTGCTCTTTCCATTCAGGAGCGTTTTTGCTATTTGGGGTCTTTTATTGTTCCATATGAAATTTTGGATTGCCTGAGAAGCTAGGTTATTAACCTGAGCTACCAGCATTTGGCTGGCACTGTATTTTTAAGAAGGAAAATCCTTTTTCATCAGACAGGTGCTGGTAGGTCACATTTGTAATCCTAGCTATTTAGAAGGCTGAGCTCTGAGGATTGTGGTTCAAAGCCAGCCCAGGCAGAAAAGTTTGTGAGACTGTTATCTCCAATAAACTACTGAGAAAAGGCTAAGTAGTGCTATGGCTTAAGTGGTAGAGTGCTATCCTTAAGCAAAAGAAGCTCAAGGACATAGCTCAGGCACTGAGTTCAAGCCCCAGGACTGGTGCACATGCGCGCACACACACATACATATCCTTTTTATCTCTAGGTGAATTTTAAACAAGGCTTTATAAACTTATTATGTTTTTCCAGATAGGCTCAGATTCAAATCTGAAAGTAGGTCAATCTGATTAGTGAGTAATAAAATACATGTTATTTCATTAAATTAAGGGAAGCAAAGTGATACTGCAGATACCCTAGACATATGCTTTGGTAGAAACAGTCACAAGTTGGATTTGTTAGCATCCTGTTAATGTTTTCTTCCTACTTAATAGCTGTCTCCCCTGGTTTTCAGCCACTGGTATTTAAAAATAATTAATGGGCCAGGCACCACTGGCTAACATCTGTAATCTTAGCTAATCAGGAGGCTGAGATCTGAGGGTCTATGTTGGAAACTAGCCTGGGCAGAAAAGTCCATCTCCAATTAGCCAACAAAAAGCCAGACATAGAGCAGTGCCTTGAGTGAAAAGCTAAGGGACAGCACCCAGGCCCTGAGTTCAAGCTGTAGTACCAGTGCAAAAATAAAAATAATTAATGGTAGTAATATCTATTTTATACTTAAGATGTGCCAGTTACCTTGTAGAGAGAACATATACAACACAGAATGTCAAAGCAGACAAACCTAGTAAATTGGTTTGTCTTTTCTATTGGTACTAGAAATATTTTAAGTAGTTAATATGATAATATTAATAGATTACTGTATACCTCTACTCTTTAGTTTTGCAGTAGTAGGGTTTGAAATCAAGACCTCAGGCTTGCTAGGCAGCTCTCTCAACACTGAGCCATGCCTCCAGCCTAACTATCACTCTTTTGAAAATAACTTATTTTCTTTTGTTGTGCTGGTACTACAGCTTGAACTGAAGACCTGGGATGGTACTCTATCATGTCAGCCACAGCTCCACTTTTGGCTTTGATCTCAGCCTCCTGAATAGATAGTATTAATGTTTAAACCATCAGCACCCACTAAGAGTTGTTTTTACTGCTGTCTTAGCTGCGTGCCAGTGGCTCACGCCTGTAATCCTAGTTATTTAGAAGGCTAAGATCTGAGGATCTCGGTTCAAAGCCAGCCCAGGCAGGATTGTCAGTGGAACTCTTATCTCCAGTTAACCACCAGAAAACCAGAATTGGCGCTGTGGCTTTGACTTGAGGGACAACATCCAAAACCAGAGTTCAAACCCCATTATGGACAAAAAAAATTTTTTTCTTAATCCCAAGGAAATACATTTCGACTCTCAAACTTGTTTTTCTCTTTTTCCTTTTTTTTTCCACTCCTTTTGTCTTTTATTTTCTTATTTTTTGCTTTTCTTAGGTTTTGTCAATTCAGAGAACTATGTCTAGTAACTGTGTAGTACCTACTTTAAAAATATTTCTGGTACAGCCGGGCGCCAGTGGCTCATGCCTGTAATCCTAGCTACTCAGAAGGCTGAGTTCTGAGGATTGCAGTTCAAAGCCAGCCCAGGAAGGAAAGTCCATGAGACTCTTATCGCCAATAAACCACTAGAAAACCGGAAGTGGCACTGTAGCTCAAGCAGTAAAGCGCCCTCCTTGAGCTGAAGATCTGAGGACTAGTGCCCAACCCCAGAGTTCAAGCTCCATGACTGACTATATATATATCTATAGATATATAGATATTGTACAAATGGGAAATTTTATTAAATACATTAGGTTTGTCTGCTTTGAGCAATATGTATTGAATGTCCTCTTGCCATAGTGACTGGCAAGTACTTTTAAGTGTACACTGTGATTATCATCTACTATTATTAAATATCCATCGGATGAAAACCATAGGAGTCAAGCAAATCACACCTGCTACTGTACATGTTGGGATCAAACTTACAAAAAAATATGTTCATCATTACATAGATGGAGAACAATAATTTATATTTGAGAATTTTAAAACATACTAAGTGCTATTAAAACTTTAACCTATATACTACCTTGTATGAAATAATTTTGTTTTTTGTTTTTTTTTTTGTCGGTCATGGGGCCTGAACTCTGGGCCTGAGCAGCTCTTCAGCTGCTTCAGCTCTTCAGCTTAAGCCTAGCACCCTACTACTTGAGCCAAAGTGCCACTTCCAGCTTTTTCTGCTTTTGTGGTGCTGAGGAATCAAACCCAGGGCCTTATGCATGCAAAGCAAACACTCTACCACTGAGCCACCTTCCCAGCCCCTGTATGAAATAATTTTGTAGAGATGTATTTCTATATTCTATACAGTTAAGGATATTTTTTTATAGTCTGTTGGTAGTTTTAAGTAAAAGTCCTTTGGAAGTTTGCTGTTGCACTGCCTTTTCATGCATTCTCTAACATGTTTACTGAATTTCTACCCTCTGACACTTTTTGGGGGGGTTGGTCGTGGCGTGGGGCTTGAACTCTGGGCCTGGGCACTGCCCCTCAGTTTTTCATATCAAGGTGAGCACTCTACCGCTTGAGCCACAGCACCACTTCTGGTTTTCTAATGGTTAATTGGAGATAAGAGTCTCATGGACTTTCCTGCCCGGGTTGGCTTTGAACCTCAATCCTCATAGTTCAACCTCCTAAATAGCTAGGATTACAGGCGTGAGCCACCAGCGCCTGGCTTCCTCTTACAGTTTGTACCCTGCTGGATGCTAAAAACATAGCAAAGAACTAAGGATCCCTGCCTTTAGGGAGTTATGTTTCAATGGCACAGGCAGCCATAAGTAAGACAGGTAATTTTAATAGAATGCTAAATGTTAAGAGAAAAAAGTAGGGTAGCAAGAAAAACAGAATATGAAGTTGGCAAACAGGATGCCAAAAAGTTGAAGTGACCTCAAACCTGAAGACATTTAATAATGATTTCTAAGGAGACATGAGTAGTATAAAGATCCTGAGACTGTGTATTTTTAATATCAACATGAATTGCTAGAAATTTTTTTCTTTTACCAAGTAA